GTTAACTTTGTTTACGGAGACTGTACAAACCCTTCAACTATCACTCACGAGCCAGCAATCATATTCAGGTAAAACTTCATTTTTGTTGTTCTACTAAAATACCAAATCTGAATCAAAATATTGATTTATGGCAGCTGTGTTGATGACTCTGGAAACTGGGGACGTGGAGGAATGTTTGATGCTCTGTCAAAACTTTCTGAGACTGTACCTGATGCGTATCATCGAGCATCTGAATTTAAAGACCTTCATCTTGGAGACCTGCATCTCATAAAAATTGATGGTCTGCAACTTTTTTTCTTATATCTTCCGTTTGGAGTTTCTTCTAACATCATCTGAGTCCTCATGTATTTTGTGCTGTGCAGACAATGATGACCAGCAAACCATAGAAGAAAATAAACCTCTTTGGGTGGCACTTGCAGTTACACAATCCTACAACCCGAGGCGTAAAGTCCCACGTAGTAGCATTTCAATTCCAGACCTTGAACGTTGCTTGGCTAAAGCGTCATTCTCTGCTTCTCAGAAGTCGGGTATAAAACTTCATTGCTTTCTTCAAAGTTTCATATTTTGGTATAAAAAACCATAAGTATTCTCAAAGAGCTTAACGTTTGTTTTCATCATGGAAATGTTCTCACTTCATAAGCTTCACTCCACATGCCACGTATTGGTTACCAAGACGGATCAGACCGATCTCAATGGTACACTGTTGAGCGTCTTCTTCGCAAATACTCCTCCATCTTCGCTGTCAAAATATTCGTGTAAGTTTATTTTTATCTGTCTTTGGACGTCTTCTTCTATTGAATAATTCTAAAGCAAAGTAATCTCCGCCATTTTTTGTTGCTTTCGTGCAGTTACTATTACCGTCGTGCTCCCTAATGCAAATCTCAAGCCTGCACTTCGTGGGATGGGATGCTACTTCTTTGTTCATTACTTGCTTTTTGTTTTGCGTGTAATACGCTGTCGTGTTTTGTTGTATGGCCTACATTAATTTCCATTATTTTTCTGGACAATATTTCCTTTTTTCCTATTTTTTATTTTTTCTTTGGACAAATTTCCTTTTTTCCAACAAAAAGGAAAAAATGGAAATCAGTCACATAAATGACAGCTGGGATCCGTTGGGTTATAATGAGGCCCATTAAGGTAGCCCATATATAATAATTAAAACATACAGAGGCCGAGTCTAAATCTTATATCCATCTTGATCTATGAGCCAATGGACACCTGTCGCGTCTCCAGTGCCTGTTGTTCCACGTTGGTCGTCAAAATTGAAAGGAAATCGCGTTTTTATTAATTTGTTCCTTCACCGGGTTTCTTTTCCCCGCGGCTTAGGAGATGATCCGAATCGTTGAAGGTGGCTCCTCCTTGTGCCTATGTTTCGTTTTGATCCTACATTCCTAAAGCTCCAGGTACCTTTTCATGCTTCCTCAATTTCTGATCACTTGATCCTTCTTCCTGAATCTGTTCTTCGCAAACTCTTCGGCAATCAATGGATCCGCTTCTCAACTTCGTTGTTTCTTTTTTGTTACCGATCGATAAATTTAGGGTTTGGCGTCGATACATAGAGCCTCTGTGTTTTCACTTGCATGTTCTCAATTTCTAAGGCTGCTTCCCGTTTTATTAACCGGAATCGAGACTCTTCCCGCTGGATTTCATTTTTTTTTTCACGTCCGTTGATAATCCCGTCTAAATTTGGTATTTTATCTGTTATCTTCGTTAATAAGTCTAAGTCATGCTTGCTTTTGTTGCTTTTCGTTTATAGAGAAACATAGAGGCTGGTTTCTACGTTTAGGGACTTTAGTTTTGAAATTGATTGTTTGGAAAAGCAACCAGAGGCTTAGTTCTTTGTATTTCTTCTATAATTGTTATTGATTCATTGATTATGTGTGTGTTCATATTGTTAGAAATTGATCAGAATGGGAGAAGCTGGTCAATCCAGAGACGGAGAATCTGTCGCGCCTCTAGTTGTAAGTATTGTGCCCTCATGACTTCTTTTATACTTATAGGACCTATACTTGCTTAATGGGATTCATTTTTGGAGTCAACTTAACGTTTTCTTGTACTAGGTTTTTAATTATCGATAGAAACAACTAAGTTGATTTAGATGGGGTTAAAAAGGATATTAGTAATGTTTAGTTCTTTATGCATGAGACTGCCATTCTAATATCAGTATTTTTTTCGAGCCCAGGGCGGTGGAACTGGGGACAATGCGGTTGCACCACAAGTTTTTAATTCTTTACCAGCTCTCAATGAAGCTGCATCATATATAACCCAGGCAACTTCTTACTTGGGCAGCTGTTTTTCTGACTATTCAGGTATTCTTTTCTCTCTCTTCGTCGATGTTGTACTCAGCATGCAATTATAGAAAACTAAATGCCCAGCAGATGTTTTTTGTGCCTTTAGGATCTTATTTTATCACCATTACATAATTAAGGGTTTTGCTTAGACTCTATTCTTCCAATGTTTTCTTCAGTAGAATATGGTGGTAAGGATGCATGCAATTCTATCTCCCACCCCCATGAGTTGATACGATCAACATCAGGAGTTGACGGGAATTCTCCAGTAAGCGTATGTATTTCTCCAGGTGAAAGGTGTTCAACATCGTCAGAGGCATCCACATCTGCTGCCAACAGCCCATCAAGGGAATCTATAGAGAGTCTGCCACAGGCAACAAATGCAATTGTTACATCAAATCGGTTAGGTTTAAATGGAGTTTCCATGTTCCAAGGGTATGCACTCTTTGTATGACATATACAAATTCTCCATACTAAGAGAATTGAAAATGAATACTAAGAATATGTGGAGCTGAAACTATACTTTACTCTTTATACACTACCTCTTGTCAAGTTTTCAGCATTTGGGTGATTGATTTACTTTCTTTTCAATCAGGCTCATTGAGCGGGCACGAAGGACTGTCCGTGGCTCGGCAGATGACATAGGATGGTTACAGCGTGACCCAGAGATGCCTCCTGTCGAAGACGGCACTGATAGGTTCAATAACATTCTTGATGAAATCGGGTATGTATTGGTTGCTGTTGCATGTTTTATGTACTTGGGCTTTTTAATTTGCTGTTTAACATCTTGTTTTTACTGAATGTCTGAGTTGATCGACTTTTTTCCAGGCACGGTGTACACAGGCTTCCAAATACAGTGGTGTACTTGTTGGTTCCAGGTAGCCATTCTTATTCTTTACTGCCAGCCACTTAGATTACATTACTGTATATTGTAGGACTCTCAGAATTTGTTGGAAACAAAAATTTCAGGTCTTTTTAGCAATCATGGACCTTTATATTTTGTGGATACAAAAACAAAATTCTCAAAGATGGGTTTGGCCTGTCATATTGCGAAGATTCACAGCGAGGTAAATTTAACTAATTCGATTTAATATAGTTACGTTTGGTGTATAGCATACTAATACAGAAAAATGTTTTTACATCAGTCTTCAGTTGAAAAAAATGCAAGAGAGATAAAGGAATACATAGAAGAACTCTGTTGGGGATCTAATAAACGGGTTCTACTTCTTGGGCATAGCAAAGGAGGCATCGATGCAGCTGCTGCTCTATCACTATACTGGCCTGAACTAAAAGATAAGGTCGCTGGGTTGGTATTGGCGCAGAGTCCATATGGTGGAAGCCCAATAGCTACAGATATCCTCCGTGAAGGACAACTGGGCGATTATGTTAATTTGAGGAAGATGATGGAGATTCTGATCTCCAAAGTCATAAAGGTTTGCAACAAGTCTCTTCGTAATCTAACAAAGTCATTTAGTTGCATTATATCCTCTCTTGTGATTAACTAAAAAATAGTACTTAGATTATGTACCGCAACTAGCACCATGAGATTTTTGTGGTTGTATGAACAAAACATTTAGATCGAAAACTGGTACTGACGGATAGGCTCAGAGGTATATAAGTAAGTTTTATGTGAACCTATGCTAGTGACGGTTGCAATAACTTATCCAAAAAAGTACATATTTGGAAATTTCACATTAACTTATTTTGTTAGATTCTATTGCTCTGCTGATCTTTCTGATGAATTCCTTGGAACATTGTGAAGGGTGACATTCAAGCTTTGGAAGATTTAACCTACGAGAGAAGAAAAGAGTTCTTGAAGAATCATCCGCTTCCCCGAGAACTCCCCTCGGTTTCATTCCGCACAGAAGCTAGCATCAGCCCAGCGGTTCTAGCCACTTTATCACACGTAGCACATGCTGAACTTCCTCTCACAAACCAAGCCACAAAACTTCCAGTGGTGATGCCACTTGGTGCTGCAATGGCTGCTTGCGCCCAGCTACTTCAAGTGAGATACGGTGAAAAGAGTGATGGACTCGTGACTTGTTGCGATGCAGAGGTCCCTGGTTCTGTGGTGGTTAGACCCAAACGTAAACTAGACCATGCCTGGATGGTGTACTCTTCCTTGAACGAGGTTCCTTTAGAAGCCGATGCTGCTCAAGTTTGTGAAGCTCTCTTGACTTTGCTTGTCCAAGTTGAGGAAGAAAAGCAACGTAAACTCTCGACGAAGATTGATTGAGAGCCTACTCTTATTTGTTTTCTTTCTACTTTTATCTTCTTAAGAAGAGACCTTAAATTGTTTTATTTGTAAGACTATCGTATTTCCTTTTGTTTTCTTTATAATCTACAACAATTCACACGTATATATTATCAGGTTTTGAATGTAGTAGAGTGTAGACTAGTAGATCATGTCGCGGAGACTCGGGGTTTTGTAAGAATTTGGTTTTTTTCTCTTTTACTGTGTATGATATGATTTTTTATTTTATTTTTTAAGAATGAGTTGATTTATTTATCTTAATTATCAAAAATGGATGATTAAATTGAGGTTAACAACATCGGAAAATTGTACAAAGATCTTACGGCTCGGATGGTTCGAGATTCTATGGACGGCCGATGCTTATATACTGTAAGCGGCATGTTATATATTCCCAAATTAACCCTCCAGATGTTCACAAAATTACGCCATCGTACTCGAAATTAACTTCAACTCTTTCTGTCTCTTTCACTGTTGTTTATTTTCTCTGAGTGCTGTGTGTTCGCGAGAGTGCTTTGTGTGGGACTTAACAACAACCGTTTGTAACAATCTTACAAGAATCAGACAAGGTCTGTGTTTGTGAGAGATTGGATTAGAGGTTATGGTTGAATTGGAAGACAGGTGAGATTAGGGTTTCTTTGTAATTCCGGGAGGAGCTGCGGAGCAATTGAATTACCTCGGTTGAAGCAATCACATAGCTTGGATCGTTTAGGGTTTTCTCATTGGGTGAAAGTTTCTATTGGTTTTGGGATTTGTGTTGGACTTGTTTGTATTCGAGCTCAATCTGATGATGATGTGAGAGAAGCTTAATCCTGGTGGCGATTCTAGGGTTTTTCAATGGCCAGCACAGGCGAGCCAGACCGTAAAAGGCGTCACTTTAGCTCAATATCACCCACAGAAGCAGCAGCCGCCGTCAAGAAACAGCAGTTCTTTTGGCCCTCCTCTGAGGACACGGTTCTCTCTTCATCCCCCTTGTGCATGCCCTTTACATATATGTCGTCGCTCTGAACTCTTAACTTACCCAATAATTTTTTCTTGTTAGATTTCCAGCTATTAGATTCTTATACCGTTCTGGCACTGGATGTCTTTGTTCTAGTTGTTTGCTGTGTTCTTTGTAGCTCGTTGAAGAGTTTTTGTGTATTTGTTTTCACTTCATTGTCTTCTGTTTTGTTATTGCTTTGAAGATATTAACCGTGAGTTTATTCGACTACATGTGTTGTCGATCTAATCAATGTTGTAACTTTCGAACCCCTTAGAGAGTTAGAGACCATGCCTCGAATTTGGTCTGTAAAGCAAGATATTTTATTTTGCTTTTGCAGTTGAACTTATCACAGCTGCCGGTTTGTAATAGGGATTCTGTCTGTCTCCTAAGGGTTTTGTTTTCGTTTTGATACAGTATGATACTGCCGTTCTTCAGTTCCAAAATCTGAAACTGTCACAAAAATTAGAGGCTCAGCAGGCCGAGTGTTCTATTCTTGAAGATAAGCTTTCTCAGGTCAAGGAAAAACAACTACCATACGGTTCCACTTTGAAGACTGTCCATAAGTCTTGGCAAAAGGTAACACTTACGCTGCATTTGCATTGGATTCAATCATAACTTGGATTTTCTCACCCTATCCACCATGCCATAAAAAAAAACTAAAAAATACTGAAAGAAGTAAGAATTACCAATTTCAGTTGTTATTCTGGTCTTTTTTCGAAGAGATCTAATTAATGCTTTTGTAGCAGCTTACAGCTGCAGTGGAATCTTGCTCCGTTCGTGTGAGTGATTCAAGCAGTGGAGCTCATAGGTTTGTAAACAAGGATGGTATGAACAGCTTGGTCCACCTCTTGTTCGTTCTGTTATTGCTAAGATCTAGCTAAGATTTGGTGTTATATGTTACAAATATGACTTACAGCTTAAATGTGCTATGCAGATGGGTCATCTATGGCCGTGAAAGATGATTTCATCAACCGGCTACTTGAAACTGGTGCGACTGAGAGCTCCTCATCCAATATCTGCTCAAATGGGATGGAAGAAAATAAAGTGAATACGTCAAGTCAGCTGACGCAAACCTTGTCTAACCTAGTAGCCGCTACCGATGATTTGAGGTGTCTGAAGGATGAATTATATCCCTCAGCTCGCAGAACTGGTCTTGATAAAGGTATGCGTCTACTGCAATCATTTATAACTTATATGTATTAACCCAGGTCTTATATGGAACTGCTTTCTTTTCTAGATTTGTCCGGACAGTTAGAGCTGAATGAATTGGAACTAGAAATTAAAAGTTTCAGGGTGGATCTAGATGATGTGCTTGTGAAGTTCAAATCACTTTCTAGAGAATTGCAGAGCCATCATGATGCTGATGCTAAAGTCAGAGTAGACCTTAAACGAATAAGAGGTAGCTACTTTGTCTCTTGTCATTCTAATATTTACTATTACGCCAGCTATTAATAAGATATGTAGTTGTGGTCTTATGGAAGATATACTCATTAGTGAACTAATTATACAAACCCTTCTGAGACATAAATTTCTGATCTTTAATTTATACCATTTGGGATACCCATGGTCATATAGTTCGACACATTCAAGGAGACTAAAAGAGCTGGTAAATCTTTGAAAATGACATACATATACAAAATGTGAAGCATCTTCAGTTCTGGAAATTAATTACCTATTTACCTTAAGATGTAAAATTTTATCCGGAAATAGTCAGTAGGCAGATCAGAGATTCAAACAGAGTTAAATTTATTTTAGTTTACATTCCCGCTTAAGGATTAATGCTTTTTTTCCTCCCGTGTGTATGGACATTATATTTTGTTTGATCTATCCGAAGGGGAGCTAGAGGATGAGGTCGTGGAGCTTCAACAGTGTAATGGTGACTTGTCAGCATTGAGAGCAGAAAAAGATGCGACAGCAGGGACGTTTTTCCCAGTGTTGAGCCTTGGAAATAAGCTTGCTACCAGTGATAAGGAAAGGGATAAACAAAGAGATCTGCAAGACATGGAAACAGTTCTGAAGGAGTTAACGGTATATTTGTTTTTCTGGTTTTGTATTTTCATTGGTAATGCTTTGAATTTTGGTTTGATAACAGACAGATTAACAGCTTTGATTTTCTAGGTCCTGGCTTCAGACAGGCTACAAGAGCTAAAAGATCTTCATGAGGAGAGGACAAAAATGCTTGAAAAAATGAGTAATGTACAGGTCAGTGTATGATCCAATTGGAATCTACTTGTACTAGTTTATTTCTGCAAGAGTTTTGGTGTATGAAAACTGATATAAGAGTTTTTTAACAGAACAAGTCAAAGTCTGTGAGGTGCATCTCATCTTCTAAAGCCTGCCTTTCTTTGAAAGACCAGCTTGAAAAATCCAAAGCAGCAGTTTTCAAGTCTATGGCTTTACTTGAGAAACTGCAGGTTATATCTGGATTACGATTTTCATTTTCGTACCTATCTTCATAAAATTTATGTTGTATATCCGATCTGAAGCTTTCCTCCATTCGAAAATTTCAGGTTGAAAAAGATAGTATTGTCTGGAGGGAAAGGGAGATGAATATAAAAAATGAACTTGTTGACGTTTCTAGAAGGACTTCTGCTGTTGCTGATTCTAAAATGGCTACTTTAGATGTGGAGATACAGAAACAACTGGATGAAAAAAGTCGAATCAAGACTAGGCTGGGGAATATAACAAAAGAGCGAGGTCACAAATTGATTACTTAGACTTCCAATTATGTGTGTCACACCAGCCCCTGTTTCACTTGGAGTCTGATTAAGTGATTCATATGTCAGGTAGAAAAGAAATCTTTGCAGATATGAAGGCATTAATTTCTTCCTTTCCAGACGAAATGAGTTCCATGCGAAGTCAATTAGACAATTATAAAGAGACTGCTGGAGGTATTCATTCTCTGCGGGCTGATGTGCAGTCCCTCTCTGGGGTTCTATGTAGGAAGGTGGGCAATAATGTTGAGCAACAAATGTTGTATGCTGTTACAGTTTATGTTTTTCTTACTTAATAAGCCTAATTGGTGAACAGACAAGAGAGTGTGAAGCATTGCATTTGAGATCAGCTGATTATGCTTCTCAGCTAGTTGACCTGAATGCTACGGTACGATGCATTATATTTACCTTTTTCAGTGTACTGCCCATCTCTTTGTGTTGACGATGTTGATATTGATTATTGTGAGTCAACCTTGTTTGGAAATATATTTCTTGGATAAAGTATTGCAAAAAGATGAATTAGCAAAATAAAATTTGTTAAATTTTGTAGTAGTTTTTGGTTGGCAAAGAGGCAGTTGTTATGTTATTTACTTTCAAGTAATATGAGTCTGTCATGCAGGTTCGTGATTTGAAGAACAGTCATGAGGAGTTGAAGTTGTTTCTGGACATGTATAAACGTGAGTCCACTGATCCAAGGTATGCTCAACTATATGTAACGAATCCAGTGGTCAATATCCAAGATTTTAATTGTTAGAGAAAAGTTTCCTTATCTTCCCCTACCTTGTGGCCATATATATAGTATAACGAGTGCTGTTATTATTCTTGCCTTTAGACCAAACTATCCAATCTTGCTGAAAATTTGCTGCTAACTTTTCCTGCGTTCTGAAGAAACCTATGTTCACTTTGCTAATTTATTCATCACAACTATCTGATCCATTTTTACACTTTCATCAGATGAAATTCTCTTTTGGGTGTTAGTATATATATTTGCGTCATATGGTTATCCGCTTGATGCATTGCCCTAAGCATCACTGGGATATTGTGCTGTGGCAGGGACATAGCTGAAGCTAAGGAACAGGAGTACAGGGCTTGGGCTCATGTTCAAAGTCTAAAATCTTCCCTCGATGAGCAAAATTTAGAGTTGCGCGTTAAGGCAGCAAATGAAGCGGAGGCAGTTTCCCAACAAATGTTGGCTGCTGCCGAAGCTGAGATTGCTGATTTAAGGCAAAAAATGGATGATTGTAAACGGTGAATAAATCAAACTCGTTTCATGCCGCATATGCACTCTCCTCTGCTATTTAGAAGACACTACATAGTCATAGGAATTCTTTGAGACTGTTTTCTTGACAGGGTTAGGTCTTGTCTGTTTCAGGGATGTCGCAAAGCAGTCTGATATTTTGAAGTCTAAACATGAAGAACATGGAACATATCTTTCTGAAATACAGGTTTGGCTATGAAATTTCTTGTTTCTTTGTTTATAACATATTTTAAAAACCTTGATGTTGGGTATCGATTTACAGTAACTATCTTCTTTTAGACAATTGGAAGTGCCTACGAAGACATTGTACCACAGAACCAACAGCTTTTGCTTCAAGTTACAGAGAGAGATGACTATAACATCAAGGTATTTATTCAAAACTCTTCTTGTTCCTCTAACTGAGTTATTATGTAACTCTTAGTGTTACAATTTGTTGGACATTGATGGATTACTTTAATGGCATGGTACAATCTCTTTTGTTAGACCTTACTATGTTTTATAAGTATATCATGAAATAAGGATGGTTTGTTACTTGGATCCGACTATGAGATGTATTTTTTTTTTTTTGTTCTCCCATTGTTGTTTCAGCTTTTCTTGGAAGGCATAACTTCAAGGCAGATGCAAGATATGCTGCTTATTGATAAATATATCATGGATAAGGATATACAGCAAGGCAGTGCATCTGCTAGTTTCTTATCCAAGAAAACCTCTAGAATTGAAGATCAGGTATATCTGTTGTGCCTGTATACACAAATTGCAAGTCAACTTGTTATAAGACTTTGACTTGAAGGTGCTTTTTTTTTTGCAGTTGAGGTTCTGCACAGATCAGTTTCAGAAACTAGCGGAAGATAGATATCAAAAGTCTGTTACTCATGAAAATCTGCAAAAGAAACGTGCAGACATTGGGAATGGCTTGGAACAAGCTAGGTCAAGGCTGGAGGAGTCGCATTCTAAAGTTGAGCAAAGTCGGGTGGATTATGGGGCATTGGAGCTGGAACTGGAAATTGAAAGGTAAATCAGTTGTTCCCTTCCCACATCTCCGTCATAAACAAGTGTTGGTGACGAGCTTATCAATTATATTCTGCATAAGTCAGGTTCAATAAAAGAAGGATAGAGGAGGAAATGGAAATCACCAAAAAGAAAGTTTCTCGTCTTCGATCTCTCATAGAAGGATCATCGGCCATTCAAAAGCTCCGGCAAGAACTGGGTGAATTCAAAGAAATTCTAAAGTGTAAGGCCTGCAACGATCGCCCAAAAGAGGTAGGGACTCACTGCGCTCCATTGTTTAGATTTCAGCAAGATGCTTCTTAAATCATGATGTTGTGATGTTTAGTTGAATCCTTTAATCAACTGTGTGTGTTCTGATTGGTTTTGGTAATTTGTTCGTGATTAAATTAGGTGGTGATCACGAAATGCTACCACTTGTTTTGCAACCCATGTGTGCAAAAGCTCACTGGAACTCGACAGAAAAAGTGCCCGACATGCTCAGCGAGTTTTGGACCGAATGATATTAAACCTATTTACATCTGACGGAACCAAAACGCTCTGAGCATGATGTACGATGATGACACTGAGAACCACAGGGATTTCTTCTCATATAGATTAAAAAAAAACATTAGATCTCTCTCTCTCTCTCTGTAATTATTACCCTCGTTTTATTGGGAAAGGTCATGAGGAATAATAATGACTCAGAGTTTTTGAGAAAAGAAAAATACATTTGTGGGATTTTGATCATGTGATAGAGAGAATAGGTAAGAATCTTTTTAACACTTGGTAGGGTTTATGTCTTGGTGATCCTTTATTTTTGTTTTGTAATTTGGAACATGGCTTCCGCTATTGATTTTTAAATAAACTCTTTTTTTTTTTTTATTCCCATTGTTGTATCTATCAGCCAGACGTGTGTTCTGTAAATGTTCTACGATTCTTTATTTAGTAAACATGTAGCAAAATCTTTTGGAATTTTCAGATTTTTTATTTGGCATCTTCAAGACTTCGATCCTACGAGATTCGTCCACCAGAATGTGCACTGGTGATGGATCTTAAATGATGCTAACTTTCAAGTGAACACACTAGTGTTCTGTTTATCTCTGCAATTACGGTTTGTAAAATTGACTTAGCAAAGTAATAGGCTCTCTCAATCGAAAGAACTCTTATGTTGGGACGGAGGCAAATCTGGATCAACAATAGATACAAACTGTTGAAAACAAGTAGTGAAAACTGTAGGAAGCATAATCTAGTAATCTACTACATTAGTATAAAAGAAAAAGACTTGAATCATCATTTCATTCATTGTCGATTTTGAGCTTTACATTTAACTTTGGAATGCACTGTCAAAGTATCTTTAATTGTCCTCGATACATTTTGTTTTCGTTTCACAACAAAAGGAAAAAGGAATAATTTGGGCTTCTATTTTCGATAGCCGAATTTATAAACCAAAATAAAATTTGACTACGTAAAAAAATGTAGGACCTTTACTAAGAAAAAAATATTAAGAGCATCAATTAATACTTTAAATATGTATAGAAAAATTAAACCACACATAATTTGGAAAATGGTATTTTCCTTTTCATTGTTTAATATTTTACATTATTTTCTTGTTGTTGTCTTAAGACATGATCATTGGTAATGCGGCACATGCTCTTTTATTTTTATCTTTTCCTTCCTTTGAAAAAAAAAATAGGCCTGTGAGGTGAAAAAGAAAGAGTTAATAATATAGATATGAACCATATGCTCTTAATTATTATTCTTATTATTCTGCTAGTACTGCTTTGAGAGTTTGGTCTTTCTAATTGCTTGCTTTATCTTTTTCTAAGCCACTTTATTCCCAAAGATAAAGATCACATGTTTTAGCTCCATTCTGCTTCTATCTCTCTCTCGATCTTTATATACATACATTATGTATATCACTAATCAGTTTTAAAAAAAAAAGTCTTAAAGTGCTGAAAGGTAGAAAATATATACGTTTGCATTGCGAACACGATAATATTAATTTCTAGTAACATTCTTTTTTTTTTGTTTTGTTTTGAGGATATGTTTTTCTTGATTCTGTTAAAAGTCTGAAAGATTAAATCAACAAGAATAAGAATGGGGTTTTATAAATAAGTGAGTGAGCTAGAGAGAGAGTGGTGTAAACCTGCATCTTCTTCTTTTTAAAGCATATTATAGACGAAAGAGGAAAACAATCATACACTTAGTATCTAATGACTTTTCCCTAAAGCACTCCATTCAATCATGTTTTTTTTTTTTTTTTGATATATATATAAACAAGTGAAAAATGTTTAGATCTTACAAATCTTTCATAATTGTCGACTCAATAGTGTTTCGGAATTTCACCATTACCGAAATTATTATTCACGACGAGACAAGATCTGTTGTTTCAGATGATCGAATCCTTGTAATTTAAGTTTGTGTTGATATAATTTTTCTAAAGTTAATAATTCCATCAACGGGAAGATACGACCTGTCGTCCCTTTCTTTTAATAATTAATTAATGGGGGTATCTTATAAATCGTCAACAAATCAGATTCATTGCTCTAGCTAACTAATAAATGTACAAATGATCAGAGACTCGATCGAACTAGTCTCTCTTGGTACAACATATATAGGGTTCTCATTATTTTCCAAAATCAGATGATATTTGTAGTTTTTACACAATAGTAGTAAAAAAGGAAACATATATATATATATATATATATATATATATATATATATTAATTGTAGTATATAGCCGTACCATCCAATAATACGAAACCATAATATATATTGCTGGACTAAGTTAATTAATAGTCTCTCTGTACACATACATAGTTAGGTTTGCATGCCACAAGATGCCAAACAGCAAATTCACCTTCTTGTAATTTGTCAGTCATAGTATCGTCCAAATGATCCAGGTATACGTACGTGTTTATATATGTTCATTATAAGCTAGTGTTCCATATAAATTGTCACTTCTTTAATTTTTATACATTCTTGCCATTTGCAATATTGTATCTACACAAACCAGTACGTAGTACTTATCAATACTCGTCAATTCTAGAATGTTTGTATTTTCGTTTTGCTAAAAACTTTTACTAGCTTTGATTCTTTTGCATTGACTGTGAAATTTAATTTTAAATATTTAGATAATCCAATAACAATCAGAAATATCCAAACAAGAGACACAAATGGTAGATTAGGAATTGTGGAGGTACGTTACCTAACGCGTATATATATACACAGAAAGTACTACACGATATAGATAATAATTGATAGGCTGCTATCAAATTGATTTTTTTGAGTTTTTCCACACAAATTTACAAACATTTAATGTTTAACTTTTTTTCTAATCATTTAATACACAAAACCCTAAATTGTTATTAAAGCTTATACCATTCAAACCTTAAAATCATGAGGGAGTAGTATGTGTAGTAATTGTCTTACATAGAACATAGATATAAACATTCAAACCTTATAATCATAAGAAAAATAGAAAATTAACACAGCATTTAATTATTATTACTATGTACATATTGAGATAACGATAGTGAGCTCACTTGTGCACCCACTATGTTTCTATTTAATGTGACCTGTCTTCAACTATCCCTATGTCTCACCAAATCAATATTTATATATATACTCTCATGTATATTCGAATATTACCATTTGTCAAGGGGAAATTATAAAAATCTAACCTTTCATCACATTCGATATGAAAGGACGAGTTTAATCTCATATATTTTCCCTCAAATATATTAGTTAATCCTTTTTTTATTGTGGACGACAAATCTATTTATGTGGATTTTTGTTTTATTCTATACTAAGTTACTAACCTATTACGTATGTAGGAGGAAATCGTTTCATATAGTGGGGTTTCACTTATTTTGCCATTTACTGTTATATGTTATGACAAAAAAAAAGTATTATCAAAAAAATTATATATATATATATATATATAACAAAGTTATTTGTCACTCTCAAAATCTAAGGGTCCAATATGTTTGGGAATCAATAACAGTCTTAAATTGCCTCATAGTGGTGAACAAAGTAAGGTGTTGGCCAAAAGTAATCACCTTATTACAGTTTATATCCTTTCACTTTTGACATAGATAATATTAAAGATGTGGACAAACAAACAAAAGTAAAAAAAATTAACGAAAATGTAAAATATATATATCATCACCATGTGAGTCATGTTATTTTCCAACACCTAATATAAGATTGTTTTTTATAATAATTAATAAGTCATCAAAGTTTGTCTTTTCCACTGTCAATTTTCACAATCATCATCTCATCAAAACTCACACACACTATATATATATATATATATATATGACATGTTAATCCGAAAAGGAAAAAGTTAGTTATAAAGACCAGGCTCAAGAACGTGGATTACGTGTTACTGCGGATAATAATTAATGAAACCCTTTACAAAATATGTTGCATGTTAAATGTTGGTAATAAGTGAACAATACAATGATCTATCTATTGTCAACAAGTCAATTACTACATGTATAATGAAGAACAAAATTAAGTGTATAACTTGTTAAAATGAATAGTGTACTTGTAACAGCAACATGTAGACGGTAACTAGAGAAAAGGAGTTTGAAGAAAAGGACTGCATAGTAAAAAAAAAAAATTTAGAACAAGTTTAATATTAATACAAATAGATGACACTTTAAAACGATATATTACAACAAACATACATTTTCATGATGTCAGCTTTAACAAATATATATATATATATATATTAAGTTAAAATTCGAGCAAAATCGGGAAATTTCCGAATTGTAGTACTAATAATAAACGGTATATATTTCTGACCGATCGAGTACAAACAATTGGGTTTTATAATCAATATTTTGTTCTTTGGTTCAATTTTTTTTTGTAGACTGAATTATAATAATCTGCAACTTCTTTAACTTGTTCTCATCGTCACATTTATATTACACAAACACACCTTAATCTAGAAACTCAAAATGAACCCGTTTCTTTACAAAAAAAAAAAAAAATCAATAGCACTCAAGTTGAAAAGATAATTAAAAAAAAAAATCAAACAGAAATAGAGAAATTGAAGGGTAAAAGAAAAAAGGAAATGGTAAAAGTAAAACTAATCATCAAGTGTTAGTAGTCTTTCGGAGAAGGGTATTTTAGTCATTCAGACAGAAAAACGGCTCTTCAAGCCGAAACCCAGCATCGGCTCCACAGAGCTGCCATGTGGAGGAGTAGTAGCAAAACGCATCGTTTCGTATCATCATCTCATTCTCATCGGCAAACAAATCCGGCAAATCAAACAGCTTCTCTTCCTCGTTGTCTTTGTCCGTACTGCACGACGTTGAAGCACACGAAGCCTCCGAAGACTCTTGACTCTGAGTCGTAGTCGTAGTGGTGGTGCTTGTGTCCGAAGAAAACACCACCGCGGCTGGACTCGGCTCGGCTTCAGCTAATTCAGCTGCTTCCTCTGAATCATCCGCATCGTTGACCGGATCTTGCCAATTAACGGCGGCTAGAGAGGCGGCGGCTTGAATGTCTTTAGGAGAATTGGTGACCGGACGAGGAAGCTCGCCGGATAACTCAGGGAAATTGAGGTAAGCCGTTGTACCTTTAATGGCTAAAGCCGCCACGTCGTGAGCTCGAGCTGCCATCTCAGCCGTTGGATAAGTCCCGAGCCAGATTCTTGATTTCTTCCTCGGCTCTCTAATCTCCGACACCCATTTGCCCCAACTCCTCATCCGTACTCCTCTATACGTCGGATGCTTATCTCCGCCGCTGATCTTTCGCTTCTTTCCTCCTCCTCCTCCCACAGTCTGATCATCGTCTTCAGCTAATGATCTTCGAGATGCTTTTCTTTTAGAGTTGTCTTCCTCATGATGAGGGAAGTTAGAGTTTGTTGATGAAGAAGAAGAAGAAGAAGAAGATGTTGTAGGTGAAGAGGACAATGAGGAGGTTGCTTGAGGAACACTACGGCTCTCAATGTTGTTGTTGATATGTCTTTCCATTGTAATGAGAGAAAAGCTTTGGAGAAGAAGATGGGTTGCACAAAAATAGATGTGAGAAGTGGGCTGTATTAATATTCCTCCACAAAATCTCTTTTTTTCTTTTCTTTTCTTTGGCTTTTTTATATTATAAGGAAAAGAAATATATATATATATATATTTTATTTTTGGTTTGTAAATAATAAATAAAAACGAAGGAGGCAGTATGGATTGGGGTCCATGGAACAAAAAGATATTATTGAGATTCACAGTTTTAGCGAACCAGTTTTGTTCCATGTGAAAATTAATACATACGACATGGTTTTTATTTATTATGTTTTTTTTTTTACACACAACCGAAAATAAAAATAAATTATTATGTATTTTTCTTACAGACAACCAAAAATAAAAGGTTATTTTATGTATTGTAAAATTAAATTGCATGGCAGTCGTTGGATTGTTTTTATTTTGTTCATTCTCGTCAAATAAGGGCCGACCCTCGTGCATGTGCGTCACCTCTTAAACACATGAATTTCCCCATTCTTCAACCATTCATTTCGTCCAAACAAAAATAGGGGTTAAGTGTGTCACGTTACATGTACGTTCGTCGTCATATGTCAAAAGGTTAGCAACTATTCTCGTAGAGTTCTATTTCGTTCGTATTGTATATATGTTTGATTGGTAACTTCAAGGAAACATAGAGCACGATGGCAAAGACTCGGAATAGAGAGAACCCCATACAAACATTGACTGACTCAGTGACTCTTACGCGATCTTTATATATTATTCAACCCCCGCACAAAATTAAAATTAAAAAACCTATATTATACGGTACGTACTACGTAGTAGGTTTTGGAGGTCTATTAAAAGACTTGTTAAGGTCTTGTTTTTTTCTTTGTTTTGTAATGCTTTTAAAGTTACGACTTATTACGAAGGTAGTTAATTATGTCCGAATTAATAATAATCAAGTTGTATATGTCTGCCAGAGGTATTTGATTACACGTGCCGTAAATAAGTCGAGAGTACAATGAATTAAAAAAATCAACACAAGATTCATACCTCCTTGACCAAGGCATTAAGCTGTCGACAAAAAAAAAAAAAAAAAAAAAAAAAAGACCAAGGCATTAAGCCATGTCTCATTCAATTAATTTTTCATAATTAAATGTCATTAAGCTTTTTGTTTCCTTCCTTCTCGAGAGGAAGAAAAATATAATAAAGGCATGGAAGCATAATTGAGATGGCTGTCCACGTCATTAGATTTTAATTAATACGAATGGGTCTAGGTATTAAATTCTGATTTAATATAATACGTACACGTACCATATCAAATTTATGTGAATTGCGAATTTGTATATAGAAACTGTATAATATAGTTATATGTTGGGAGTATATTAATGAAACACTGTTGTTACTTGTTAGTACGTCATATTCGATTCGGCGCCATCATAATTAATTAAGAAAACCCACTTTATTTTTTGATATTTATTAAATATGTTCATTGGCCACCACAATAAATATTGAAAACACTAGCTCCTTCAATTTTTGTTTATAAATTCCCCCAGCTGTGATTATACAAGAATCATTGAACAATGAACGCATTATTCACACGTATACGTATACAGTATACGCACATATACACATGCATGCAGACATATATTCTATATACTATATAGCTCATATGATAATGTAATATTTGAGCTAGTAGCTTAGTACTGTCCACTTCAGGAAAGTGTGGCTATTGTTCATTTAGAATCTTTTCAGTTGATTGAGGAATATTGACCCCATTAGCCACACTGATCTGCAGGTTCTCATTTGTTTTTATTATATAGTCCGATATCAATGTTATATTCACCCTTGGTGATAAGAAATTGACATTACGTTGTGTGATAGCTGCGATGATGGTACATAGTAGTAAAAACATGAAATGATGAAAAATAGTACACTTGAATAACGTTTTTATATGGTAGGTACATATGATACTAGTATAATAATAACATGATGACAATATATAGTACAGGTGAATAACGTTTTTATATGGCAAATCATAAAACGTCAAAAATATTAGTTCTAGACTTCTAGATAGAAATTGACACTAGTTGATTTTTGTAGAAAAAAAACAGAATTTCTATGTTTGATCCCTAGCATTTTAATTTGGGTATTAGCTGGAAATTAATAATCAAAACGAAGACCGACTTTTATATCGTCTAAAACGATTACGTGTGTGTGTATTGATCATAAGAGATTAACTGGTAAGAGAAACGTTTAGGAATTCAAAGTATCGCTCAATTGCTAAGACTTATATCTACATAAGTGGGTGTACATTTGAAATAAATTAGGAAATTAGGTATAATTCTATACATATAGTTTGGAAATATACGACGGTAGGTTAGTAGGTTTGAAATAAATTAGGAAATTTCGTATATTTCTATATATATAGTTTGAAAATACACGACGATAGGTTTGAAATAGTTTCTATAAAAAAAAAACATAACGTATATATATAGCTGTGATTGAGCTTGAAAGAGGGAAAAAAAAAAGCTTTTCTAATTTCTACAAATTATACAATTGTAAGTTATGATAATAATGCAGATAGATACAAAATAAAAGTCTAAAACTATTAGAAAAGGAGAGCAGAGGTTTGTGGGAAAATCTGCGAGCAAAATACGATGATTGATGCGAGATTTCATAAAAATATTTTAGTGTTAGTCAATGGGCACACATGGCGCACATGCCACTCAATTTTTAAGTGTTACAAAACCAAAAATATCAAGAGTAAGAAAACTTTTGTTATTATTTTTTTGTCGACAAAGGAAAAAAAAAACATTTTGTTAGAAGCAAAATGCTCATCCACTAATTAAATATGATGAAGAACAAATCGAATAAGAAATTAACATTCTCTAATCTTCATGTTATATTATTCAATTTTGGTTTCTTTATCTCATATAGTTTCCTTTACCATTCGAGAGCCTTGAGAGAGAATAGTTAACTTAATACAACAAAAACATGTAGTGTAGAGAGTAGAGACTACTAGTAAAGGAAGAAAGAAGCAATTGAAATTGTCACCATCTGGTTAGTAAAGTAATCAACGGTAGAGGTCAAATCTCAAACCATGTAAGGATGTTTATTTATAGAACCTTTTAAGATACTACTGATGAGTACTGACAGTCACATATGATAAAAGGTAAAACAAAAATTTTGGTGAATACAACCACACACGATAAGGGAAAAGAGTGGTCCTTAGCTAGAGTTTCTCAATCTAAATGCCCTTCTATTTCGTATAGAAACTATCGCAAATGTTTAAAGCTATATACACATATATTAAAGTACGAAAATGTGCATATAATGCATCGATACGTATCAAAGGGGTAAGGGAGGGAGCGGTTCAGAAACATAAATATGATGTTCCCTCTCACTCTTTTGTTCATTCAATTCTCTGTTTCCCTTAAAAAGAGGTCACCCATTATTTATTTATAAAAATATTAAAATCAAAATCAAAATTTTGGAATTGTTTTCACTAGGCGATGGACCAAGATTCATGAGAGACGTATTGCTTTTCTCGTCGATCCAGCTTGTTTTTCTTTTTTTCTTTTTATAAGTTAACAACTACTACTACTAGTAGTATTAATTTAGATCGTAATTAATAATACATATAGTTTCGTAATTTAATTTGAGCCACTACTTTTCTGTGTGCAAGTAGTTTTACTTTTTCCCCTTGAGTGAGGAACTCACATAGAATTTAGCAACAATAAAAAGAAACTTATAAACTCTTTCTCGACATTGATTTATATGATATATACTCAATACATTGTTTAGACAAGATAACTATCAAAACTCGTATTTTAATATATAAATTCTCAAACATGTCTTGTTTGTATTTCAAAGCTCAAACAATCATTATTGAATATATATTGCTATATGAAAATGAAAATCAACTCAATTTTTTACAAAAATATATTACGAATATTTCCAAGAATTTATTTTTTGTTGTTGTTTGAAAAAGCCATGTTACTTGATGATGACAAAGTTTGTCAGCTAAAAACAGGATAGTAATCCAAGGAAATGTTTTCTATTTGTATTTTCCACTGAAATCATAAACGTATCTATCATAGTTTTTTTTTGGTAATTGTGGAAGTTCGTTGAGTGGTAACATCCCTTTGGGCCACACCAAATTTCAGATCCTCCAAATCTTGCTTTTGGTCCGACTAAATATCATTATAGTTTTATAATAAACAACACGGCTGTGATTAATATATATTTAAAACGCGTTGTGATTTCAAAGCCTTTATGAAAACATCTATTGAAATTTCTCTGTGCTCTACATAATAAGTCTAATTAAGGAGTCATTGTTTCCAAAAGCATATTTGTTTTTTTTTTGCATCTGCGTTTACATGTGGAACGAACGAAGCCATATTTTCTTCTGCTGAGTGCTGACATTGAAACAAAATCACAATTATAAAAATAATTCAATAAAAACATTTTTCTTTTTATAAATATATTTACAAGAGGCAAATGTAAACGAATTTTATGATAATAAGTGAATGATATAAGAAATTAGTCTCAAAAAGTTGCAACATTATAATGATGATTACTAAAGTGTTTTTTTTTCACGTTGGATATTGTAACATTTCACTGTAAGATTAACGGCTATGGGATACTATTTACTTACTTTATTACAGAAAATGTTTACTACTAATTTATTGTCAATTTAAATCCATAATCTAAGACTAAGCGACATCAAACGAAATATGTAATAAAAGCCATAAACATTTTTCTTTTATCTTCAATAAATACTAAATTTTGAATTACAAGCCATAAAATTAACAACAACGTTGGTAGTCGACATCAATATTTCATGATACATAAAGAGTTAAAACGAAATTAAATACGGGGATTTAGGCCTTTCTTGAATACCTTTTCTAATGGTTAAAACTAAATTAAGACCTGATTTATATTTAAAAAAATCCAATCATGCAAGGGAAAAGGTATATAATATATAGGAAGAACAAAACTAAGAGAGAAACAGATCTACATCACATCATTTTGTATATCTATTAGTGGGTGCCCTACGAATTGTCTTTGTCTCCATAATTTTCATTTTTTCATATTAAATTGCATCATTAAAGAGACAAAATTTGATAATGATCTACTTTTCTTCTCTCCCTATTTTTCCACCCCCACGAATAATTCTTGAAGTTTCTGCTTCTTTATTTACTTTTTCTTATTATATTTCCAACTTTATTTTGGATTATATGCTCACAGCTCTTGTAACTTTACCTTCTTTTTTACATGAAAAAATATAATTTATATTAGTCAATGAAAATTAAATACTGTAAATAATCAACGATGTGTCATTCATCCATACGGTCATGAGAATTTTGTAGGTCAAGTTGTTGATATAATGTTTTTTCTCCACAAAACTAATCCAACAAATTCTCTAACATATTTCATTATATTCGAAACCGTAAATAAAAATTAACACCGTTTAGTATCACCTGTCGAAATAATTATTTGCATATGATTGGAACGAATCAAAGAAGCGCCGAAATTGTCTTGATAAACTTATATATATATATATATATATATAGCTCCAATCCAAATGAAAAAATATAGGGGCAGAGTTAAAGGCCAATGCCCCAATGGGATGATATTATGATGGGCTCTAGCTAGCCTCTAGTGATTGTTAAGAAACTTGTGTGAGGAACATCAGAATGGTCCAGTGTGTTCCGCGTTGGACTTTCACATCCTGACAGCATAATTCTTTGCCCGAACGATAATTTAAAGAAGAAAACAAATAAAGGAATGGAAAAAGGTTGGGATATGAATATTTTCCCCAAGGCAGAAGCAATATAAAAATGCTTGAATTGGATAGTTTCATACTCACGTCATTCTCCTTTTGTGATCTTATATAAACCCTTAGCTAACCTCGTATTGTAACAACTCATGCACAATTAAAATATATACTAAGAAACCAACGTCATCGCTGATGGGGGATCTAGAACAAGGAATACAACTAGCGACGGAGAATGAAACTGGAACTGGTCACGTGGGTAGATGGAGTGAAGGATTTCATGATCCATGGGTTCCTAAACACAGAACAGCTGAGAAAGCAAAGGTTGTTTCGTCCAAGACTAAACCGACTAGACCGGATGAATCAGTTGAGGTTTCCGGTATATGGCCTTCTTCGTTTAGCAAAGAGTACTGTTGCATCTATAGAGTGCCAAACCGGCTACGGAGAGTGAATCCAGAGGCATACACTCCTCAGATGCTTCTCTTAGGTCCACTTCAACATTCTAAGAAAGCTAAAGCCCTTGAGCTCTCCAAAAACGATTTAAGGTACCTACTCCTCAAATTTTCTTTATATATAAACCATACGGATAAAAGGCTAGATAGTTTCTGAATTTTTTTCTTGGCGCTTGTGTGTTACGTTTACATTTATATCATGCTAAATCAATGTGTATTTAACCATAGCTTTGTAGTGTTTTCTCTCGTATATCGTTACGTTTCCCGCTTGAGTTAACGTTTATCAACAAATATACTTTGAAGTACGTAGTATTATTTGTGTTTAGTTTGAACATACAGATTTTTCTGTTTTTTAAGTAATTGGTTTTTATGCTAATGCGTTTGGGTTGCTCCAGATATTTGGACTATATGAACATGGAGCTTCACAAAAAGAAGTACCTTAATGCTATTGCCAATAAATATGGGGAGAAAATTGTTGATGATTTGAGTTCAATCATAAAAACGAATGAGAAATTCATAAGAGAAAGCTACGCCGAATCAACGGAATGGATCAAATCCCAAGAATTCGTGGAAATGATCCTCCTCGACTCGGTGTTCATACTAGCGTTCTTCATTCAGACCGCCACTACTCGAAAAATCAACAAGAAAGAAGAAATCCTTGTCCATGAAGAAGACATTCTTTTCCAGAAGCCTTGTTTCATTACCACTATTTTGGAAGACTTAATCTTGCTCGAGAACCAACTCCCTTATGTCCTTTTAGAGGAACTCTCTGAACTTTTTATCTTAAATCTTAAAATCAGGGAAACGTTCCGTGACATTATCCTTCGAGCTTTTAGGTTGGAAGGAGAGGTCAAAGAAGGAATGAATTTCCGACATTTTACAGATTTGTTTCGACGTATCCGAGTGGAAACACTTTGTTTGACAAAAGAACAAATGAGAAGCGTAGAGGCTAAGAGCATAAAGAGTCTGCACAACGCAGACAAACTAGACAGTGCTGGAGTAGATTTTGCGCATCTTGATAAGAAAAACGAGTTATCGTTGGTGATTACTTTCGAACGTGGGATCTTGAAGATACCTTGTTTCTTAGCGGACGACAACACCGAGAGGGTTATGAGGAACTTAATGGCGCTGGAGCAATGCCATTACCCTCTCACTGCTTATGTTTGTAACTACATTGCCTTTTTGGATTTTCTCATTGATACCGATCAAGACGTTGACTTGCTCGTAAAGAAAGGTAACAACACTTTACAAATATCTCGGTCATAGAGAAATATGAGACGGTAGGTACGTATTCCGCATTTGCTCAATCCAGGTTTTCATAAATTTTGGTATGTGACACTTGCACAAGTGGGTTCCGGTTTACGTCTAGATTCTTGTTTTTAGCAAAATCTGTTTTAGTTTAATAGATTTTCAAAAACAAATCAAGTTATCAATCACTTCGTCGACCTGTCAAAAAACAAAAAAACTAACCAATTCGTCTTTTTCTTTGTAACGCTTTGTACGAAAATTTTGCCTTTTTCAATTATGAGAGTCCTAATTAACACATCTCAGCATTTTGCATTAATAGGAGTTATAAAGAATTGGTTAGGACATCAAGCGTCAGTGGCGGAAATGGTGAACAAACTATGTTTAGGGCTAGTGGATTTTGGATCTCACTATTACGAAATAGCCGAAAGACTCAACCAACACTACGAGAGCCGTCTCAACAGATCCATTGCCACGCTCCGGCGAGTTTACTTTAAAGATCTTTGGACCGGAACTGCCACCGTTGCTGCCGTCGTTATCCTTGTGTTGACTCTGATTGGGACTGTGGCTTCCGTTCTCCAAGTTGTGCAGAAGTAATACTTCTCCGGCTCCGCCCCAAGGAACATAGATGGTTTCTTGTTTATACTACACGAAACAAAACAATATATATTTGTTCTTTTTCTCCCACACAAAACTTTGTTTGATTTGTTCTTTTTTTTTAAGCTCTACTTGGTTTCTCAAATAATGTTTCTTTTTCGTATTTTTATTTATTTATCCCATCATGTCTAACATCATCCTTCCGTTTCACTGTGTATCTTCAAGTTAATAACAAAAGTATCTTTTTGCTTAATAAAAATATAATTTGTTTGCTCATGAGAATGAATCGATCTGAAGAATACATGTAATTAATAGTTAAAATTAAAATGGCTCTCTGTTTATATGACTCAATATAAAAACAGGTTTAAGCCTTCAAATTCACATCATTTAACATATTAGTCTTTGTCCAACGGAAGAAGTTCGGATTAGAGAAAACAAAAAACTTGAGAGAAAGGTGATAAAGAGATTTTAACAACACAAAAACGAAGTAGTCATTGCAGGAGTAATTAAATTTTGTAAAGATGAAAGAGACACGTCATTAGTGATTAACTTTGAAAAAGAAATCTTGAGAATGCCTTGCTAAATTCGTATATAGCAGGAAATAACTCCGGAGGGATTTTCAGGAAGAGAATATAGAAATCAAGCAAAGTCATTACTATTACATCATCACATTCTTGAGACTATCTCATTGACACCAAGAAAGACGTCAAGAAAGGTATGTTATCTTTTTATTTTGTTAAGTTCTATCCATCTCTTACCTTGCAAATACCATACTTGTACATACTAGAGATGACATTCTACTTTTATATAATGATATTTCGGATTTTAAGTAGATATATTTCTTTTTTTTTGAAAAAATATTCAACTTTTGAATGTTTTGGTATAGAAATCAATCGAAAAAAAGATACAATGCCATTTGACCCCGCTTTATACAGCTAGAAAAAAAAAATACTAAAAAAAAATATATAGGGTTTCCTTGAAAAGATATGGAATGTAATCATTTTTTCTTCTATATAATTTCGTGTTTAGGTCTAAGACTAGATATCACAAATAAACACACAAACATCAGCTTTTCGTTGAATCCATTTATTCTCTTCTCTTATCTTCTCAAAAACACTAGCAATGGTTGCACCTAACCCACTTGATGTCATCTCTATGCTACCAGATTTTCTTCTGATCCTCATAATATCATGTTTGCCATTCAAAGAAGCCTTAAGGACCAGCGTCTTGTCGAGACGCTGGAGAGAGTTGTACCGTGAAGTAAGAAATATTTCGTTCAACGAGGTGCAGATCTTGAGGACTTACGACAACATCGAAGATCAGCAGACTAAAAGAGCTCGGTTCGTTCAATACATGATAAATTGGGTTTCCAATTATGCCGGAGGAGTTATTGAAAGCTTCGAGCTCTCCTTCTCTAGACCGGTCGGCTTCGAAGCAGAGATGCAGGTGCTGATCGAATTCGCAGCCATCAGAAAGGTCAAGAATCTCCTTCTTGATTTCTCGGAGCGGCGTTGGGCTAACAGAGAAGCAGTAGAAAGAGGAGAAGCAGAAAATATGATTCAAATGCCGGAGAGCTTCTACAGAGTAACCACCCTCGTGACGTTGAAGTTACTCGCCTGTCGGTTCGATCCATCAAAGCTTGCAGAAGCGGGTTCGATAGAGCGCCTCTACTTTGGGTGGATGCAAGTCATGTTGATCATGCCTTTGCTGTCAAAGACACCTCTCCTCGAGAGCCTGCACATCAAGAATTGCTGGCAAGTTGGTCTTGAAGCGATAACCGGATACAACAACCGGTTAAGCAGACTGGTTTTCAAGAACTGTGGCTTCGCAGTGCAGTCCTCTACACTCGAGCTGCCAAATGTCGAGGTCTTTAAGTATTCTGGTAAAGTCCATCGCTTTGGATTCAAGAATGTGAATGAGCGTCTAGATGAAGTGTCACTGGACTTCCGTCAAGAGAGATCTTACCATGATGGGCTTGGAACACAGCTTTGCGATCTCCTCTCCAGTCTTTCATCCGCTAAGACATTGATGGTCTGTCCATTTCTCCTTCAAGTGATCCAGGTTAGGAATCAACTGAAACGAGTAAAAGTAGACATGGAGGCCAGACAGATGGTGCTGATGGCGAATCTTGAACCTCAGGAGTTCATTGGAATCAGCTACATGATCAATAGCTGTCCATTTCTGGAAACCTTGACCTTCCAGTTGCTTGTTTCTAGGCCTGTCCAAATGGCGGCACCTGAAGTCGATCCAGATACATATTGGATGCTTACAATCACTCAGCATTATTTTACGAGGTACGAGACACTGAAAAACGTTGAAATCTGGAATTTTGGTGCAGGGACACATGAGTTACAGGTTCTCAAATATCTGATTGGGCTCTGTCGTGAGTTGGAACGTGTGGACTTATACATGCCTTTGGGTCACAGTGAGAGTCAAATGGAGAGTATACGTGCTGCAGCTGAACTGGTCGGCGAAACTTTCGACAGGGCCTCCGACCGGCTGACGGTTTATCTACATGAATCTATGTTTTAATTTCCGAGCTGATGAGTTCCAATGTTTAATTACTGTTATTTTTCGTTTAAAAACCACAGATTAATAAAAGTGATTTCTAATCGCACATTTGCAGCTTTGTTATTTACGATTTAGAAAACAAAATAACAAACGAACACACAAAAATATATTGTTTTATTTACATTACATGGTCGGATCAACTAAACTGAATTCAACTCCTTTATATATCTTTTATTTTTGATGTAAGATATATTATATAACTGATTACAACATGATTAACAAGCTAATTTCTTGATTATGGGCTCTAACTCTTACAATATAGCCAAGAGCCTATACTGCGAGGTTCGTTTCAACTTTATCAGAATATATACAAAAAAAAAAAAAAAACACAAATCTTTTGCGACTCTCCAGCAAGTATACTTCAAAGTAAGAAACTATAACTATATGTAAAAATTCACAATGATATTGGTTGATTTAATATCTATATATGTAAAACAATTTCTCAGATTATGTGCAATATATAATGTTTGTTTATAAAATCAAATAAACAGTTCTAACCTTAGCGACTGTATACTATACACATTAACTAGTCAAAAGACACATTAACTAGTCAAAAGTCAGAGTCTTTCCCCAACTCAGTTTCCTTAAAAATGACCTAAAAACTAATAACCAGATAAAGTTTCAACCACTTAGAATAAAACATATTGCAAAATAGTTTGTCAACCACAAGATAAAATCTCTGTAAAAAGATAAACATGGTGATGATCAGTTCCACAAGAATGGACGATCCTCCCTTATTCATGAAATAGAAGAAAAAACCAACAACAACAACGGAGTTTATTCAAGAAACTAAGCCTTTCATTGATACATACAACAAAAGGGTTTCACCTCATCAACTCGAATCCCAAATCACTCACGACCATCACCGAGGGCTGCTGCTTCATCGTCGCCGGTTCTCAAACTCTTACTGATAAACCTTCTGCAGATCATAGGACGCCCATAGACGGAAAAAAACACCTTCTCGTTAGGGCCCATCACAATGTTTGGTATGTTGGAATACTTGAACCTCACTTTCCCAAACAAGCCATTCTTACCCAACATGCCTGATTCCCAAGGGTCGTTCACAAACACTTCCTCCACAGCACATGGGAACATACTAATCATCATCATCACATATATAAATATACACATAAATGAACCAATTGTACTGTATATTGTATAAGAGAAGTAATAATAGACCACCCAAAAAAAAAGAAATGGTTATATCACGAAGCACAGTGTGAGATGCAAGTCGAGATCTATTACATTAGACATAGCTTATATACAAACTAAACCAAAATTGTTACAGGCCATCAATCTATCTATAGAATACGTGTGTCTACGCATAGTCAACCTTCTATGACGCATTGATAAAAAGTTAAATGTGCTATCGTATCTATGACAAATCATTTGCACAAAACAAAAACTATTAACCATTTCTTGAATTCAGGGATTAGGGTTACACTTACCAGTTGAAGAAAGTGAAGATCTGGAACTGTGAGAGGGGATAACCATTGGAAAACGTGAGGAACAGACAACGTGGGTCAGGGTCGTGCTCAAAGGGCTCTGCTGATGCACTGAGAACAGATCCGGCCGAAGTACTCATGGCGGCTTCCCTGTCTCTCTTCTTCCCCACCTCTCCTTGTAACAAATTAAAGAGAGGCGCAATTCCTTTGTTTTGTGTCTATATAGCATGATACGTCCGATGCTACTCTTGGGATTTTATTTAAGGAATGAAATTTTTTTATTTAATGCCTTGTATAGAAATGTTGATCAAATTTCTTATTTCAGCGAGTGCTGCATGCATGTACATAGTCAACAATTTCCAGCTGTCATTTTTTTTTTTTTGTCTTTTTAACAATATTTAATTTGCAGGGTTTTGTTAAATCATGTGTTTTTGTTAAGTATCTCTAGCTTTTTTTTTTTTTTTTTTTTTTTTTTTAAATAACTTCTGGTCCAGTTTTAAGATCCAAATAAAGTTCAAAAAAATTGGTATACAGTGATTCACACCAATAAAAATAAAACAAAAACCAGGAATCACCTCCACGGAGACGGAGCATGTGGAAGTTAGTATATATACACACATTCTCTGCAACAACATGCACAAAGAAAAGCTTTAACAATGGTCAAAACTCTAATAAAAATAATCAGATATTGAAAAAAGACAGCCACAATCCACAGCTTTACATTTCACAGTTTAGTTACAGAGCAATGTCTCCCGCGTTGCATTCCCAGTGGTCGCATTAACCCTAATGAGACAAAGAAAAAAAACACACACAAACAATATAATTAACCACATTCTGCTGCTGCGTTTTAGATAGGGTATAAGATAGATCCTAAGAGATGAGAGCAGAACAATCGTACCCATCCGCGATTTTGCAAAGGTATTCTCGTTGATCATCTCTTAGAGGGACATCAGTGAAGTCTAAATCCAATTCAAATATACACACACACAAAAAAAAAAAAAGTATAAAACATTATGTGAAGCTCAAAGTTAATAAAGAGATGTACTTAATTACTGTTAGTATGAAAGAGTTTCTTCTTTTTACCTGCGCCTGTAATGTTTGATCCCTTGAATGATGTGTTTCCAGTAGCAGTAGCTCCTTCCAAGTTAGCGTTCGTTAAATTCACCTGCAAAGATGCAACATTGTTAACTAACTATTCACAATTAATGTCAAGGAAATGTTTGTTTTCCCTAGCTTTATACACATTTTGGTACATAAATGGACACATATGTGTAACATAGAATACAACCTTTGTTACGTTTGCCAAGGAGAAATCTGCGCCTCGGAGATCAGTTTCAGACAAATCAGCACCTGGACTTACGAGATGACAAATGTTAGCATTCATGAATGAGACGTAATCTCTATTACAGTTCTTCTACTACCTCAATAAAGAAAAGGAGAACAAACCTGTTAGATCTGCATCAAAGAAGCTAGCACCTAACAACTTTGCACCCTTGAAGTTGGCTTGCCTTAGGATGGACTGCCGAGAATGCCATCAAATAGATGATGATTAAACGAAAGATATGTTGATCACGATAACAGTCTATAGCTGAATAATGTATTTACCGTCTTGAAGTCCTGCCTGATGAGAGTCTGGCCACTGAAATCCTTGCCGGACAAGTCCTGTCCCCTGGTGACTCCTTGTCCATAAGGACCTCCACCCTTAGAATTTAATTCAAATCCAGAAAATAAGTTGAACTCCAGAAGTACATCTTATGATATCGTAGTCACAAAATGACCAATGTCCCTCAATTGGAATGAAATCCACTAGCTTCTTAAATCACAAAGTACTAAATCACATATTCAGAGACACTTAATTGGAGGGTAAACTATATAGTAAATACAAGATCAGTCATTAGATTGCGAGTGAAAACTACAGGGAAGACTGTTTCAACTAATGATTCCAGTTTCCAACAAAGAAAGAGCCCTAATCTTAACACTCAATGATAAATTTCCACAAGTAACAACAATTAACGTTTCCTCGCAACAACTTTTCAATAGTGATCTATTCATCATCACTTGCCTATAAAGTTTCGAGCTTTAGAATTTATACTATCATCACCAACATATCCAAGTCCTTTTCTTTTTTTTTTCTATAACTTCCACAATAGATTACAGAATACACATTTAAAAGGAGATAAGGAGAAAAGGATACCTTAAAAGCAAGAGCAGGATCAACAAAGAAGAGAGAAACAGAGACAAGAGCAAGTAGACTTCTCTTTGAAACCTCTTCTCCTAATGACAAAACCACACTTCCCAAAGGACTAACCACTTCTTTTCCTTCCTGCCCAATAACAAAATACCGCAAAAAAGAATTGACCCCTCTTTTTTTTTAATCTCTGGGGTTCTCAATTTCAGTCAACACAGCGTTTCAAGGTTGGAGACAAGTGAAAATAAACAAATTGGAGATTACCTGTGAGCAACGAAGGGGACAATGAGAACTACGAGAAGATAGGGAATTAGGGAGTGACGAGAGAGATGGTTTTGGAGAGATGTTGCAGCAGGAGAACAACGAGACGTTGCTGAGTACTGCCATTTTTTTTTTTTTTTCCTTCTTCGCGAATCAACGAGTCTGAACAAGTGGATGAGCCAAAAGACTTTCTCCTTGTGGATAAAATTATCATATGACAGGTGCAATTGCAAGTTTCTTTTACTCGAGAAAAAGGCCGAGCCTATTAGGCCCATATACCACTTTTACTTATAAACACAATAAGGCCTCGAATGAAAGTGTTTTTTTTTTATGAATGTTTTTCTGATTTTTGTTTTTCAAAAAGTCGCAAAATCATTATTAATCCGAGAAAGATTAGATTTACAAAATCTCAAGCCATCATAATTAATAAGTCCGAGATAGATTTTGTCTTAAGAGAAGACAAATTTATAACTCTCAAATATAATTGTCCTTTTGACCAAATTTTAGAGTGGCCATCAAAATCTAACTGTCTCAACAAGCAAGAAAGATCACGAGCAAGTCACATGGAAAACAGCTGGTACACAAACACACGCAATCGAAAACGCATTTGGATCGATTCCAGGGCTGTTGATCATAATAATAATAATAACATCATGAGAGGATGAGCCAAAAGGGTCAGAATTGTAATTGTAGTTGGAAGCTCGTGTCGCATCAAATGATTGGTGTCCGGTGTGAGAGAGACAACGAGACACGCGCCGGGGTGGTGCGAAGATTCATAATACTATACTACTAACTAAACCATCCTCTATTATGTCACTTGTGAGTGTGACACGTGGTCGCTCCATCACGTGATCTCCCACGTGAATGTTTCTGGCGTATCTAATTTATACAAGTTCTTTTTGGCTGTTTAGTTTTATACTCGCTCCCATTCTTTTAGTTTTACACATCTTAGTCACGTGGCTCTCACTCGCTCCTGTCGTCTCCTTTGCTAGCTTTTTTTTTTTTTCTTTTGCATCTTGAAACTTAATGCTTTTCAGCTTTTATTTATTTATTTAGGATTTCGTAAAGATTGCCAAAAGGGTAGATTCCATTGTTTTCCTTTCTTAATTATATTAGAGTTACAAGTTGTGAATCCGAACAGATGGAAAAATCCCCCAAAAAACAGCATACATTTGAATGCGATCCATCTTCTGAGCGTCAACCATTTAAAATTTTGCCCCATACTAAAGTTCAAATGATGATTTAAACCATATTTTTTTGTATGCTTTGGTAAAATCATCATATAATTTTTGGTTTAAGAAGGTTTATTATGTTCTATCGGAATAATTACTCACTAGCTAGGATTCGATCTAATGTTTGATGATCGCCTAGGTAATAATAGTATTTAGAATACATATACTATGTTTTCTTCTCTTTATAAAAATCTAAGTTTTGCATGCATGTTAACAGCTGTTATTCTCTGAAACTCTAAAACCTTACAATCATGTCCAGAGCCAGTAGCCTTATACTTGTTTGTTTTTTCTTCCGAAGCGTATCATATGTTATTAACAAATTGTACGGATACAAAATAATAAATAATACTCCCGAATCAAATTAGATCTTGGACCGGACCAAGATAAGTGACGGGATTCCCACGTGGACATGTGTAATGATTTCGAGTAAATTGTTAGATACGTCGACTCAATCATGTGGTACAAGTACGTGTAAAATATAATAATTATTTTGTAATGATTATATTCGCTCAGCAAACAATTATTGCTCCATGTACATTTAAAAAAATATATATATTACCGTGGTGTTAGGGCAACATTATCAAGGAGATTTTATACCTAAGATTTACATAAAAAAGTATCTTATGCAAGATTTTTTTTTGTGTAAATTTTAAGTTTAAGATCCCCTTAAAAATATTGGCCTATATGGTTGAATTATTATGAATTATCATGGTAACCCATGTTACCAATCAAAGCCCTAGTCATCTTGCTAATAGATTGTTTTGATAGTGAAATTAAGTTACTAAAACTAGTACACTTATAAATATGTATAAGTAGAATCTGGATCAGTTTATATAAATCGAGAAGGTCAGCTCAAACCGAATCTAGAAAAAAAATGAAAGGAGAACACATGCACTGGGAGAGCTTTTGCACATGGTTATGGACACACACGTGGGACCATATTTCGTAGTTTCCTCTTTTGAATAAAGATGTGTCAAAACAAAAATTATTGAACTCACGATAAGTATTATTTAATATTCATGCTTGATTACCTCAGAGTTCTCTCATAGTATTTTATATTCATGCCTTGGTTACACACCTAAGAAACTCGTTATTGGTGAAACATGGGCTTTGGTTGCTTTGGTCGGTTTCCATCGGATCATGTTCTTAGCTGTCTCTTACCCCAAAAGATAAACTAGTATAACTCTTTAATTCCCTCGCCATTGTGTTGTGACTTAAATCAAATAATTAGTAATATGTTCAATTTAAATAAAATTGAAATAGTATTTGTTAGGTATTCCGAAAAGAATACGAGCCTCATCATAATGGTTTCGTATCCGACAATATATTGTGGTTGGAGGATTATTTAATGAAATGCAGTTTTGTCGTATTGATTTCAAAATAAGATTGTATTATCCTCCGACGTTCTCTTATTTTCACGAACGAGCGACTTTAAGGGCGTGAAGTACACGCGAGAGGGTTTGGGATGTTAATAAGAAGTGAACCACCGAGTCGGAAAGAGAAAGAGAAAGAGAAAGAGAAGGGAGTATCCAATGATTACAGAGAAGTGGATGTCTGGTCGCGGAGGAACAAAAATTACGCCGCACGAGTGTGGTCACTTTGGGGACCATGTGCCTCCGCCACGTTGGCAACTTCCCACGTGAACCGCTTCCCGTTTCCCACGTGACCTCCACCGCTTCTTCGGCTTCTACACTCTCCCATGCTCATTATTCCAGAATTTTACATTCTCGTATATATAATGTACTCGAACATCATCTACTCTAGTCTGAGAACAAATTCAACAGACGACGAAAACAAATGGATTGCTCATAATCACGAATATTTGATGTACTCGAACTTTATTGTGACCTGTCCGACGATATCATTTTACATTTTAATTAATTGTGTTACCAAATAAACATTTATATAGCATTGCTTACGACTGTTCATAACTAAACCCATGTTGATTATTTAGTTCAAGCATATATTATTAAATCTATGTGTACATAACCTTTGTGTTTTAGATAGAAAATTAGAGTATGATCCTTTTGTATAACTATCGTTTTCAGACTACTACTATTACTGTATCAAATCAACCAACCAATAATAAGACTCCAAATAAATCAATAGTATCTAAAAGTAATTTACCAGGAGAAAAAGTTTCCAAGAAAGGTCAAAGCAAGTTTCAAGAGTGGATGAAAAGCATGACCGCATTGATTGAAGATTCATAACAAGTCAATACACATATTCATGATTATCATTAAGATTTAGATTTTGGAAGTAAAACACACATTAACTTGTGGTTGAAAAAAGAGTCAGACGTTATTTAAAATTTAATTAACAAACACGACCGGTCTTGTCTGTAACACTCAAAGAAACTGAAGTAGTAGTAATAATGATGGCATTATCAACAAACTTTGAAAACGATAAAAAATTTATTGTTTCAATGACAGGAAGTAGCCGAAGTAACAAAAAACTCTACCACCCAAATGTCCGTTTTATATTTGACTTGGCCAAAATAATCCAATGGGGAAAAAACTTGAATGTTCGCTTTCATTAGTTGACCAGAAGAATTAGTAGTAGTAAGTAGTTATAGTAATCAAATCAAAGGAAGAGTTTTGGAAAAGGGAATAATAAATGAATTTGAAGATTAATTAGAGAATCGAATGCATGTTGTTGGGTTCACAGGTAACTCTAAAAACTGATGAACCCCATGCAGTGTTATGTTAGGCTCTGTGTAAACCTATCAATGCGATATCGTTTTCTGACTACCATACCCATTTTGAGCCCAACGCCGTTGTCTTCACGCAAGCTATCTCGCGTTTGTAGTTCACGATCGACCCTACTTTTACTTTATAGGCTTATATACATCTGTCTTTTCCTCTTTAAAAATACCGTTCTCATGATTTAAATAAATAAAACAATTTATACATTGACCAAACAAAAAAAAAACAATGCAAACAAAGATCTTGTTACATTAAATAATTTTAGTAGAACTTAAAAATAAATGATTAAAGATGAAAGTTACAAAACGTAAAAACAAAACCAGATATTACTGTCAAATAAAATATCTGAGATTTTGTGTGTTAAAATGCTAACGTCTGTAATTGACTTTTGAGAAGAAAATAAACAAAAAGAAATATTCATTTGTTTAAAAGCTCAACGTATTGAAAAAGAAAACGCATTAGAGTTGAATGAGTTTTTTAATTTATTTTTTCTACGCATTGGTTAATTCTTTTTTTTTTTCCGGAGGGAGAGAAAGAGAGAGAGGAGGAGCAGGTAACAGTATATATCATCATTGAAATTACAAGGGTCTCTCTGACACAAGTCATCATTGAAACCCCAAGCCCCCCACATAACCCCCTCTCTCCTCTCCTCTCATATCAACTTCTCTGTATAAATAAATTTAGTCGTATCTTTTTAACCAGCACTAACTTCATTCTAGAAAATCTCTTGAGAAAAAATGGGTGAACGAGATGATGGGTTGGGTCTGAGTCTAAGCTTGGGAAATAGTAGTCAGCTAAAAGAACCATCTCTGAGGTTGAATCTTACGCCTTTCACAGCTTCTACTTCTTCCTCGTTTCCTCCTCACATGCACAATCAGATTATTAATAATAATAGCCATCCCCAAAAGATTCATCACAACTCTTGGACTCATCTGTTTCAATCTTCTGGTAATACTTTTTTTTCTCTTAAACATTCATTGTGTTGAAATTTTGTTTTTAATTTCATAGATAGACTTAGACATCTATCTTCGGATCTATGCTTCACATCCATAGATCCGATCTTATTTATTCTTTAATAAAGATATTTGTAGTTTTTAAGTTATATACGAAATTGGAAGCTAAAGAACGTTTTTATTGTACTCTAGGAATTAAACGTACAACTGCAGAGAGAAACTCCGACGCCGGATCTTTCCTAAGAAGTTTCGACGTGAACAGAGCTCCGTCCTCTTCGGTGGCGGTGGTGAACCTGGAAGAAGAAGCAGCCGTCGTCTCGTCTCCGAACAGCACCGTATCGAGTCTGAGTGGGAATAAGAGGGATCTTGCGGCGGCTAGAGGAGGAGATGAGCACGAGGCGGAGAGAGCTTCTTGCTCACGCGGCGGAGGAAGTGATGACGAAGACTGCGGAAATGGCGACGGGTCAAGAAAGAAGCTACGGTTGTCGAAGGAACAAGCTCTTGTTCTCGAGGAGACTTTCAAAGTACACAGCACTCTTAATCCGGTTAGTGACATTTTTAGTAATTTTTTTCTAACCTAAAAATCTGGTTAATAATTACAATTTGCATTTTCATAATTTACTACTTACTGCATGGACGTTTTCTGATTGGCTTCTTTCTAAAAAAAAACTAAAATTGCTTTTACTTTTTATTATGATTCTTTTGAATAATCGGATTGGGCAGAAGCAAAAGCTGGTTCTAGCAAAACAGTTGAATCTAAGGGCAAGACAAGTGGAAGTGTGGTTTCAGAACCGAAGGGCAAGGTAAAGAAATTATCTTGATTTGTAGGGGTATTACCGGGAATTTAGTAATAGAAAACCTTAGTAATTGCTATGATGGGGATATAATTGTCCTTTTTTATGACCCCAAAAAGAGTTTTCAGTTCTCTCTGTCGCAAAAGAAAATCTTAATAAGATCTCTCTACCTCTCTGGCTCTGTGTACTGTCACATGAGGAGTGTTTTTACTTTTTTTTTTTTTACTACAGCGCCTTAAAGACACATGCATGCGTACAGATTAAATCTACTTTTGTCCCTTTTTTTTTTTGGCCTCTTCCGGTTTTTTTTTTTTTTTTTTTTTTTTTTTTTTTTTTTTTCTGCTTCTTCTGTTTCTTAATAAAGCTTAGTTTTAAAAAATGATCTCTAATATGTTTAAAATTATTATGTGTACATAGGACGAAGCTGAAACAAACGGAGGTTGATTGTGAGTATTTGAAGAGATGTTGTGATAATTTGACGGAGGAGAATCGACGATTGCAAAAAGAAGTGTCGGAGCTGAGAGCGTTGAAGTTGTCTCCACATCTCTACATGCACATGACTCCTCCTACTACTCTCACCATGTGCCCTTCTTGCGAGCGTGTCTCCTCCACCTCATCCGCCAATGCGAGCATCGCTCCTCCTCCACCTCCTGCTACTAGTGTGGTTGGGCGGCCAAGTCCGCAGCGATCGACTCATTGGACTGCTATTTCCCTCCAGCAACGATCAGGCCGCTAGGGATGGGTGTTTTCCGTAGTTGTAGCTTAGAATAACTATATATATAGATATATAAGTATGCAACTTTTAAAGATTAGCTTCAATATGGGGAAAATGAGAAAGAAAAAAAAGTTCGATTTGAGGCTCTAACTCTTGACATTGTAAACGACTCTTTGACAATATGGGAAAAATGGCAACAACCTCGCTATCACGGAAATGGTTATAGACGAGAAATTGGAATAAGCACCCCGAAATGTCATTGTGGCACAGAGGCCTTTGATCGTCGAAAGAGATTTCCATTTTATTACAAACTATATCTATAACTATAATATGTTGTTGTACCTGCGTCTGTTTAGTTTTATTAGTTTCCCGAAGTATAATAGCGTTTGGGATAAAAACTAGTGAGTTTTACAACTGAGTTAGTTTTGCCTGTATTGTTTATATTACCTCTAAAACTCTAAGAAAATATACATAGTGTATAAGGGATATATAATAAACTAGATGGGCTTAGATCAAGATTCAAGAAGATAAACCAACAAAAAAAAGTAAATCATAGTGGGCTTTTTGCTGGTAGTATTTGGATATGCGTAGAAAATATTCTTTATTTCTCTTCGTTGGGTTTTTATAACCCAGAATTAAAACGATCGATACGTTGTTTTTCTTTTGGGATCCGTATTCCCAAAACAAGATGATGAAACGCTTTCGTAAACTCATATCTGATGTGCAAACTCTCTTAAAGAGTACTAAAACAAAGTAGCTTTTTTTTTTTTGGTCAACCAAACAAAGTAGCTAATAATCCTAAAATATGATGACAATAGTGAAATTTGTCTCGTTTTTATTTATTTATAAAAACTCAATAAACTTGAATAATTGACTGAGAATCCCAAGTCATCTTCTTCTTCTTTTTTTTGGGGTTGGAAGTTTTCATTTCTCTGATCCAGTGAAGAACTTACAAAATGGTGTTGTAGATGCTCTTAACATTGTGTTCCCATCGTCGCCTAGTAGGTCGATACTTTGTTACATGTTTTTTTCTTTCTTCCTATAATCCAGGTTTAATATGTTGTGATGTTGATTGATAAATACGTATAGTAATTTTCTAAAGAAAAATCAGTGTGGGGAGTTTTCAAACATCAAGTTTAATGAAACAAAAGAAGAATGTTCCAATTGGAACCTAAATCTCATAAGAAAACGAATTTATCAAGAAATAGAAGTAGTAATTCAGATTCTTACACCTAATCAATAAAATTATTGGCTACTCGGTTTCGGGTCCAAATCAGCGGCTTGTCAAGTTAGTCAGTCACCTCCTTGTTTGGTCTGTCTTCTTTGGTTTTTCCCCACAATTTTTCAAAATGTCTTATCTCTCAACCCAATCAATGAAGGGAAACGGTATATTACTGCATGCTGACAACAATGCCAAGATTAAACTCTCACTAAAATTACCTTTCACCATATAAAATTGAAGACTAACTAACTTTTAAGTTTTAATGATTTTGTTACCATAATAGATGCATTAAAAAAAACCAAACCTCGACTTGTTAAAGTCCAGTCTCTTACTAATGTTCAATTCAACCAATGAATATAAAAAGGATAAAAAAAGATACGAATTAAATAATGATATACACGACAAATTTCGGGAATTAATGTGTGATTATGAAAAGTAATTGTACATACTAGTATTTGTCGATCGTTTTATTCAAACTAAGATTTGTATATAGTATAGTATAAATTGATGTCATGAGTTTGTGCCATATTTATGCAGACTATTCCTTATACTTACCCCGAACACAAAACGGTCCTGCTAACTGAAACCAACAAAACCTCGAATAACTCCTTACCCTTGTTTGGAATAAGAGTAACAACTAACACCAATAGTAACAATATGGTAGGACTTGGTAGTACATACGTGGTGAACATTAAAAATACCACTTGGATGTTCACATGTCGCATTGTTTTTGCTTAACATGCATAATTTTTTTTTTTTTCCAATTAAAAGTATGTCAGCAGGATTAGTTGCATACATATATTTATTTTAAAGACATGTATTGTTACTGATTTTCCGTTTTTTTTTTATAACTTATTATTTTGAATATGAAGTGAGTTATTTCAAAACTAAAAGCCTACATAAAAGGTCAACTTTGCAACAAAATTAAGTGAATTAGAAATTTAATTTTTTTTTCATGCGGGATTTGTTTTTAGTTCACAAGCTTCGAACGCCAAAAAGAAAAATGAAACTGTTTTTTAAGGGTAAAACCCTGTATTAGTAATTATTTTTTTTCTAACATAATTCTGTTTCTTATTATTTAGTGGTCCAGACTTCTAACATTTCGTAAAACTTAACATTTGTCGACCAAACTAAAACTGATTTTGTAAAAATATACATATATATAACTATTTATTCTAAGATATAAAAACATTTTTATAATGTAATAAAAAAATCATTGAAAATGTATAAAATCCAATCGTAATTATAATGTAAGAAAAAAAATAAAAAAAAATCGTAATTATAATGTAAGAAAAATATTAATAGAGAGAAAAAAAAAGAAAACCGTGCAAAGGAGGTGATTTCATGTTCTCTCTCTCTCTCTTTCTATCATATTCGTATTTGAGCTGTGTTTTCATCACACGAAGCCCTCTTCTCTCTTTCGAAGCCCCGACCCGGAATTTCCCAATTCCCCTCTTCATCATCATCATCTTCTTCTCTTCATCATCTTCTTCTTCTCTCTCTCTCTTTGTGCCGCACATAAGATTAATAAATACAAAGGGGAACGTGTTAGAGAGACTTTAACGGAATTTACTTGAGAGGGGTCTTACAGTTTTCGGGGTTTCGCCTGAATTGTCTGTCTCTGACCTTCACTCTCTCTTTTTTTCTTTCCCTTTTTCTCTTCACTTTCAAATTCCCAATTGATCTTCTCATTTGTGAGTTTAATGTCAATACAAATCTGTTGAAGAAAGGTCAGAGATTTTGCTCTCCTTTTTGTTTTCTTATTCGAGGGTTTTTGCGTTCGTTGAGCTCTTGAATTCGTGTTTATCTAATCGTATCGTGTAATGTGTTATTGATTCGATATGGTCACTGGGTTTTGAAAACTCTCTCAGCCATCCGAGTTTCTACAATTGCCAAAATCGGGACTTCTCTTGCCAAAGCTTTAGACTTTTGTTGTTTCTTGTTGCTATTGAAGATCTGTGTCTTCTAAGGAATTTGTGATCAGCGTTTTCAAGGTTGGAAGACTTGAGAGATATATAAAGCAAAAGTTTGGATTTTTTATTTGGTAGCCGCAAGGATAATTTATTGCTCTCTTAGAGAGAGTTTTGATTATATCTGATCAATATAATGAGTCGTAGGGTTAGGAGAAAATTGGAGGAGGATAAAGGGAAAGATAAGGTTGTTTTGCCAAGTTATCCTGAGACTAGCAGCAATGAGGATTTAGTAGCTCCTGACCTTCTTCATGGTTTTGTTGATTGGACTAGTTTGCCTTATGACACAGTGCTTCAGTTGTTTACTTGTTTGAATTATCGCGATCGAGCTAGCTTGGCATCCACTTGTAAGACATGGAGAGGTCTTGGTGCTTCTTCTTGTTTGTGGACTTCCTTGGATCTTCGTGCTCACAAGTTTGATGCTGCAATGGCGGCTTCTCTTGCTTCTAGGTGTGTTAATCTTCGTAACTTACGGTTTCGTGGGATTGAATCAGCTGATTCCCTTATACATCTCAAAGCAAGGAATCTACTTGAAGTAAGCGGTGACTATTGCAGGAAGATTACTGATGCTACATTGTCAATGGTCGTGGCACGTCATGAGACACTTGAGAGTCTCCAACTTGGACCAGACTTTTGCGAGAAGATCTCTAGTGATGCCATAAAAGCTGTAGCCTTTTGTTGTCCAAAGCTTAAAAAGCTTCGCCTTTCCGGAATAAGATATGTTACTTCTGAAGCCATTGAAGCTCTGGCCAAACATTGTCCACAACTCAGTGATCTCGGGTTCTTAGATTGTCTAAATATCGACGAGGAGGCTCTGGGAAAAGTGTTATCTGTTCGGTACCTCTCTGTTGCTGGGACATCAAACATAAAATGGTCAATTGCATCAAATAAATGGGATAAGCTTCCGAAACTAACATGTTTAGATGTCTCAAGGACCGACATTGGTCCCACCACAGTTTCTAGATTCTTGACATCGTCGCAGAGCTTAAAAGTATTGTGTGCTTTAAACTGTCATGTTCTCGAAGAGGATACAAGTTTCATAGACTCCAACAGATTTAAAGGAAAAGTGTTACTTGCTCTGTTTACTAATATTTTTGATGGACTCGCTTCTCTTTTCGTTGGTAATACAAAGAAACCCAAAGATGTCTTTGCCTATTGGAGAGAGTTGATGAAAACAACCAAGGATAAAGCCGTTGATGAAATTATGCTTTGGATCGAATGGTTTATCTCTCACACACTTCTACGAACTGCAGAGTGTAATCCAGAAGGATTGGATGAATTCTGGCTGAATCAAGGAGCTGCATTGCTGCTTACTTTAATGCAAAGCTCACAGGAAGATGTCCAAGAGAGATCAGCTACTGGACTGGCAACTTTCGTAGTTATTGATGATGAGAATGCTAGTATAGACTGTGGAAGAGCTGAAGCAGTTATGAAAGATGGAGGTATCCGTCTTCTTCTAGAACTTGCTAGATCATGGCGAGAAGGGCTTCAGTCAGAAGCTGCAAAGGTTGCTTCTTCTGTTTGTCTTGTCTTCTTTCATACTGGAATTTGATACTTTTGACTGGACACACTAACATTTTTCTTTATCTGATTTTTTAGGCTATTGCAAATTTGTCGGTAAATGCTAATGTTGCAAAGTCTGTTGCTGAAGAAGGAGGAATTAGAATTCTTGCTGGTTTGGCAAAGTCAATGAACAGACTTGTGGCTGAGGAAGCTGCTGGTGGACTATGGAATCTCTCTGTCGGAGAAGAGCATAAGGTAAGTCCTCTTAGCTATTTATAAGATTCTTGTTGTAGCTCTTTATTTTTCAGCACACAATTTATTTATTTTGTTCTCTATTAGAATGCTATTGCTCAGGCTGGAGGAGTGAAGGCACTGGTCGACCTTATATTTAGATGGCCAAATGGCTGTGATGGAGTCTTGGTACGCTTTCGCCACCTTGAAGCTTCACCCTTTTTGTTTTGTTTCTAAAGATACAATCTTAATAAGACACTTTTGGAGTTAAGTTAACGGAATTTGATACCACAAAATCCATCCCTCTACAAAAAGATTTAAAACCCTACTAAAAACAGAGAAATCCTAGGATATTTATGTGAAACCATTTGTAAAGTAGTGGTAGTTTCGATAAATCAATTTTTAAGTGGCAGTGCATTTTTTGGATATTTCCCTTCTTTCTATATGGAGGATTTACCTAATTTGTGTGATTAGGAACGAGCGGCGGGAGCATTAGCAAACTTAGCAGCAGATGATAAATGCAGCATGGAAGTGTCAACAGCGGGAGGTGTACATGCTCTTGTGATGTTAGCTAGGAATTGCAAGTACGAGGGAGTGCAAGAACAGGTAAATTCCATTTCTTAAATTTACAAAATTTCTTGTGAGATGAGTTATGGTCTAAGTGTGTTCTTATTTTACAGGCTGCTCGTGCTTTAGCTAATTTAGCTGCTCATGGAGATAGCAACAATAATAATGCTGCGGTTGGACAAGAGGCAGGTGCATTAGAAGCTCTAGTCCAACTTACACAATCGCCTCATGAAGGTGTTAGACAAGAAGCTGCTGGTGCACTATGGAATTTGTCGTTTGATGATAAGAATCGAGAATCTATCGCTGCAGCTGGTGGCGTTGAAGCTTTGGTATGCTTCCAATTTGTTTACCATGATTACATTGTTCATCTGCATATATTTAAGGGGAATTGATCACTTTTATTGATTGTTTTAGGTGGCGCTCGCGCAGTCTTGCTCGAATGCATCAACAGGTCTTCAAGAAAGAGCTGCAGGTGCACTTTGGGGATTATCGGTGTCAGAAGCAAACAGGTGCCAAAAACATCTCAATCTAAGTTTTATTTGTCGCATAATTGTCACGTGATATGTTTAAGATCAATGCAGAAGAAACATAAGGACAGACCATCTTGCTTTAACATGTCACACATGCTGATACTTTTTATTTTGCTTGCACCAAGTTTTTGCTTTGGTTAGCAGAGAAGTTTTAAAAGAGAGTCTTACCAATATATTGTTACTGTCATTTCCCTTGATAATAATCCTGCCATTGCTCTTTTCGATCTCCAACAGCGTTGCGATTGGACGTGAAGGTGGGGTTCCACCTCTAATTGCACTTGCAAGGTCTGAGGCCGAGGTAAGCAATTTGTTCTAAGTCTTGTGGCTTTGAGCTTAGCCATTAGGGATAATCTGATTAAAAAATTCCTCAATGTGTTGGTTTTTTTTTTGGTTTCAGGATGTCCATGAAACTGCAGCAGGAGCTCTATGGAATCTTGCTTTTAATCCTGGTAATGCACTCCGCATTGTTGAGGAAGGAGGAGTTCCAGCTCTTGTTCACTTGTGTTTGTCTTCTGTCTCAAAAATGGCTCGATTTATGGCTGCATTAGCTTTGTCATACATGTTTGATGGAAGGTATATTCATATATAACTCAGCTAGTATACATTCCAAATTATATCCGATTCCTACAGTTTTTGATATGTTTTCGATCTGAATTACCAATCTGCAATAGGATGGATGAATACGCTATGATGATAGGAACTTCCTCATCAGAGAGCACATCTAAAACCATTAGCTTAGATGGGGCAAGAACAATGGCTCTTAAACACATTGAAGCTTTTGTTAAAACTTTCATGGATCCTCAAATCTTTGCAGCTGCTCCTGTTTTATCTTATCCTACTCTGTTGGCACAAGTGACAGAGAGAGCTCGCATACAAGAAGCTGGGCACTTGAGATGCAGGTTAATTTGTTTGCCTCTCTCTATCTCTATCCTGGCGTTTTTTTTGTATTTGATCTAGAACTGATTTGAAATTTTGAATATATTGTTGTCTTTGCAGTGGGGCTGAAATTGGAAGATTTGTAACAATGTTGCGCAATCATAATTCTACACTCAAAGCGTGTGCTGCGTTTGCGCTTCTTCAGGTATGTAAATATGCGAAAAGAAACATTGTGCGTCAAACAATAGGCAAGTTTGATTTGCTGTTTTAGCCTAACAACTGATGCATTTTTCGTTTTGACTTCTTACTCTCAAACAGTTTACAATACCGGGTGGTCGTCATGCAATGCATCACGCAAGCCTTATGCAGAATGGGGGAGAAGCAAGATTTCTTCGTTCTGCAGCTGCTTCTGCAAAAACGCCTAGTGAAGCTAAGATCTTTGTGAAAATCATCTTGCGCAATCTCGAGCATCACCAGGCGGAATCTTCCATTTGAGCCTTTTAGAAAATGATAGTGAAAAGTCCCATTTACGTAGAAATTACCTCTGTATCTCAAATACACAAGAAGCCAAAGCCATACTGGAAAACCAAACTCTCAAGATGCTTTATCAGACCAAGAATGTCCTCTGTGTATGATCATATGAGACTTGTGTTCTTCTGCAATAACAGGTTTAAAGGATTAGGAAGTTGGTGTTTCTTCCTTTTTGGCTCTCTTCATTTCTTGTGACATATGACTTTGACTTTGACTTTGACTTTTACCATGAAAAAAAAGAGATTTGAGTTTTTCAGAGATTCCACTTGGTACGGACGGAGCAAGCTCTCATCTAGCGTAAACTGAAGTGACCATACCACCCTCCTCTCTGTTACGCCTTTAGATAAATCATATGGGCTTTTTTAATTAGGCCTGATAAATATGGGCCTAGTTATATACTTTTGCAATAACTATCATCAACACGTAACATCAAGAATTGATGAGCGATTGCTATTTACGTCCAACGTTGTTCCCCTTTTGAAAACCTGAAACATTAAGAAACAGAAGCTCTGTTTTGTTTCTATTTTCATAAGAGTGTAGGTTGAATTATTGTTCTCTGACTCCCTCTCTCATATTGAATCTCCATCTTATCTTCTCTCTTTCACCTCCTTTGCTCCATCTCTCTCTTACACGGCCTTGGAAGTAACAACTGAAAGGATCTCAAGTCCTAGAGAACGGAGAAGATGAAGACTCAAGGTTCCAACGGAGATCTCAGTCAGAAATTCTTTAGAGTCTACATACCAAATGTCACCGAAGATAACATGGTACGTTGCTTCTCTTTCTTCTAGTTCAGAACATTTTGCTCTGTTTCTGCAATATCTTGGCCCTTTTTCCCCGAGATTAAGTTGATATATGCTTTAGAAAACTACTATGTACTGCTTCTACGAATCAAAATTTAAGAGATGTATGTTTCAATTGTTTCTACAGAATCTCCCTTTTGTTTCGAACATGATCTCAGGAACGCCTCTTCCTCGGAAAGTGACAGTTAGAAGCGTGTCCTCCGGAAACACTTGGAGGATGGAAATGACAACGAACCGTGAGAGTGATACCGTGTTTCTCCGGGACGGATGGAAGAAGATCTTCAAGGACGAGAATCTGATAGAGCCAATATTCTTGGTCTTTGAGTTTGATGGTTCTCGTGTGTTCCACTTCTGCGTGTACGAGCACAGTTCCATGTGTAAGAGGATGAGATCCCATATAGAACAAGAAGTGATTGAAGTGGAGAGTGACGAAGAATGTGAAGATGATGATGGTGATGATGTGACTGTAGAGGATGAAGAGAGCACAAAAGGGTCTGATGAGTGGCCAGGAAGGAAAGAAAGAGGTATCACAAACAAAGACTCTTCATTGTTGAGGTTTATATGAGAATCAGTTGATGTCTTTGTAATCGTTCTGTTTCTGAATCATTTGACAGGTGGTACAAGTAGGAAGACGGACAGTCATGATAAGCTTGATGAATATCTAGACGACGAACTTAATCCGTCTTTTCCGGTTGACCTGACTCAGCCAAGATTGGTAATTACAAATTGCAGAATGTGATAGTTGTTTATAAATGACTATTATATGTTTATGTCATTTCATTATTATGCTGAGTCCATCAAACTTGAAATTGTGATTTTGCAGCGCATACCGTCTATACTTATAAAGGACTACAACTTGACATTTTCCAACTTGGTTATTGTACGTGACAAGATTGGGAAAATGAAGAGGAGAATCTCGGTTTGGAAGAACAGATCAGTGTATCTCAATGGACTTAGCAGTGTCATCCGGAGGAATCATGTGAAGCCAGGTGATAAAATGTTATGCGAACTAAGGATGGTTGATGGTTATCACGGTCTGGTTCATGAAATCAAGGTCCACATTATCAAAGGCTGATCAAGATGGTGTTCTTCTGTCTTTGGGATGATTGACATGTTTAGGCTATCTATGTTGTTAGTGTTGAATACGTTACTTTCGCATTTGTGTTGTTATGCATTCCCGGACACCATTGTACGTATATGGTCCCAGTCATGATTCACAAATGAAATAGTTCTGTCGTGTTTTCTCAAATGAAAAGTTAATATCAAGATCATTTTTCAGAAAGCGGATAAGTTTATAGTTTGTTTTTGGGATAAATGTTATCTAAATCCCGAACTTACAAATTTTGACCATTTTAATCCTCGACTTCTACTGTGGTCATTAAAATCATAGACTTCTCGTTGACGTTATTTTAAAATCACTATCTTTTGTTGTCTGAGCTAGATTGAGCATGTCGTCAAATCAAATTCTCTAACAGAAGAGTTAACAGCCGTTTATGATCGTTAATTGATCTCTATTAAGTCGAAAAATGAGAATCACAAGGACAAGCGACGTCGATTTGGGGATTTAGGCATTTCGTTTAAGGCAACACGACGTCGCTTGTCCTTGTGATTCTCATTTTTTGACTTAACAGAGATCGATTAACGATCATAAACGGTTGTTAACTCCTCCGTTAGAAGATTTGATTTGACGATATGTTCAATCTGGCTCAGTCAACACAAGATGGTGATTAAAAATAATGTCAACGAAAAATCTATGATTTTAATGACCACAGTAGAAGTCGAGGATTAAAATGGCCAAAATTTGTAAATTCGGAATTTAAATAACGTTTTTTCCGTTTGTTTTCTCTGTAGTTTTATATGCATTTTGTTTAATAATTTCAAATATTTTATATATATTATGATTTGTACATTTGTCTATCTGTATAGAAAACATGTATATACAGAAATAATATTTTACAATCGTTTATATTCGTACAATTGTACTTGTACATATATTATTATATACGGTTGTACGTTTCTGTAAAAATATTTTAACTGTACAACAATATATGTTTGTATAATTACACATATATATCCATTTTTTTGTACACACATACATATTTTAATATGTATAACTCATATAATATATAGTAAATATGAGTATAAATATTAAAATTGTGTATATACATATCTATCTGTATATTATAATAAACATAGTTATCCAAATAATTACATTTAATATTTTAATGGTAATGGTATGCTTGTAATTATGACATTTAAACAAGAGTTTAAGAGACATCCAAATAGTGTCTAAAAGTAAATATTGTTATTTTTCTAATTGTAAATAGTTTTTGTACTATTTTCTATTTTTTTTTATATGTACTAAAACTCTTATTATCCCAAAAATAAATTACGTTTGTCCGACCGTGCTCAATAACTCGGTCTGAATTTTTTTAAGGGAAAAAACAAGGGGGAAGAATTAAATTTCATTTTATTTTTAAGGAGGAAAACACTTTTTCTTAAATCATTTTTCGTAGAGGCGTAGAGGAGTTTTGTTTTCCCTCTCTACCTTATCATCTTCCTTGGATCGATTCGGCGTAATGTGTTTCCTGTAGGCTGTAGTTGTAAAAATTTAGTTAGAGATTTGGCAGATCTGAAAGAAGCGGATCGGACCGGAATCGTATGTGCCGCGAACCAAGGACACGAAGGGGCGCTTCCAAAAAATGAGGACGCGCCGTCGAACATACACGGCAGCAACTCCGGCGTCTTTGGTCACAGCGAAGCCCATAGTTCCAGTGTCCGGTACAAAAAGAAGAAGAAAGCTCCAATCGTGAGTGTTTTCTTCTCCTTTTTTTAATCCAATCTGTATTCGAGCCTTTTATCTAATCAGGGTTTATTGTTCGTGTTCTTATGCTGCTTACTTAGTGACCAAACCTATAGAGAGTTGGTACGTAGCTTTCACTATACCACCAACAGTCTTAACGCCATGAGTGACAAACTAGTGGTTCAATTCCACTCTTTTGTTTCTCTTCAACTTACCCCAGATTCTTCTTCTTATAATCCTCAGATGCACTGCGAAAAAAAAAGCTAAAGGAAATCCTGGTGGATCGGAAGAGAAGAACCAGTGGGCTCTAATTCCAATAGATATCCTGCGGGAGATACTGTCCGGCCTCGGATTAAAAGACAACATACAAGCTTCCGCTGTCTGCAAGGCATGGTGCGAAGCAGCTGTCTCTGTTCGCAAGTTACAGCCTCCTCCTCCTTTGCTTTTTAATTCACAATACAGGCTTCCTTGGGGGTTCGTTAGCCCTCACCCATTACGCTTTCCAACATGTAAGCTCCAATTCCCAGGCCGAGGGTTGGATTTGCTCCATGAACCCGTTTATTCAAAGGATGGTTGGGTGCTTTCGACACAAGACTGGCGCTCCCGTTATGCTACAACACTTCTTCTTAATCCGTTTACCCGTGAGTGCTTCTACTTACCCCCAAGGACATACACAACATTCTGCTGTTGGTCAGCTTTCTCAGCCGCTCCTACTTCAGCTAACTGTATGGTGATCTCGTACAACCAAATAGACCACGGCACATCTGTTGTCATCATCGATACTTGGCGTCCTGGTGAAACCGTATGGACTGCACACTGCTTTGAGAACCAGTTACCCTTTCGCATTTGGAGGAAATGTGTCTTCTCCAATGGCATGTTTTACTGTCTCAGTACCTGCGGCTATCTTGGGGTTTTTCACCCCTCTGAATCCACTTGGAACGTTCTTCCAGTCAAACCATGTCCCGCCTTTGATCATTTAACCTTTGATCATTTAGAGTACTGTAGCCCAGTGTTTATGACTGAGCATGAAGGAGACATCTTCGTTATTTATACTCACGCCAACAACAACAACCCAACGGTGTTTAAACTAAATTCTAAATGCAAGGAATGGCAAGAGAAGAGAGATCTTGGTGGCTTGACAATCTTTACAAGTTTGCCTGCCTCTTTTGTTAGAGCTGGTCTCTCCACGGAGCATAGGAACAAGATCTATTCATCCTATATTGATAAATCTGAGCGATATGGCATGTACTACTCCCTCGGTGATGCCAAAAACTCTGATCCCCCTCCAACAAACCAAACGACTCAACACCACGTTTGGGTGGAGCCACCTCCCAACAACGTTCATTTGTGACTTACTTTATGTTTTCCAATTTATTCATTTCTTTTCAAGGCTTGATTTGAACTATTTGCGAGTCTTTTTTTCTTTTACGTTTTATATACTCTATGAGTTGGACAAGTTTCTATTTATCCGATGCCTAGTATTTAAGGGTTAAACACAAGTGTTTCAGTCTGATACACTAACACGCTTCCTCTTATTACCTTTTGCGTTTGGTAACTGGACTTTTCAGTTTATGTTGTCAATATGTGCTTTAAGGTGATGTGTGTTCCAACAGAAACTTTTGAAGGAAACAAGGTAAAAGGCTCTCTCCTGGAGAAACTACTGGGGTGACTGGACCACCTTCTCTAAGGTTAGTTCTTGATTAGCTTTGTTCCAAGACTGCAACGCAGAAAAAAAAAAAAAAAAAAAAAAAATCTCCCAAAATGAAAACTTGTGTCAAAGGAATATCAAAGACCTTAATGTTATATACACCAGCATCAACATGTGTTTAAATTAGATAAAAACCATACCTAGTGGAGCTGTTTCATTGCACAATTGCACCATTTGCACTGCAGCGACATGCCAAATAAAGAAATGAGTATGGAGCTTTTAAGTTTCCACTGTGGAGGAACTAGAGAAGAAATTTGAGTTTGCGTGGAGTCAAATCCGGCAGAGTGATTGATTCCTCAGATGATGTCTTGCATTCATCAGAATCTAACATGTTCCTGGGGACCTTTGATCGGTGTGTGCCCTGGCTCGCTGAGTCCATTTGTCTGAACATGGAGATTCCCTCTCTTAGAATGCCACTACTAACTCTCCTATTGCCCCCACGTATATCATATTGAGTAGCATTTGATGAACTTACATGAGACTCTCACCAGTTGGCTTCCTCCTTTTTCATGTGCATAAGCAGCTTCTCGAGAACCAAATGTATGCTTCGCCGATGAGGATGGGTTGTATCCCCTGATATAAACTCTGAAACGACATAACTTATCTCAATCCAGCTAGACCCAACCTCTTTCCTGGCTTTGTTCATCCTCATCATGTTTTTGACCAGCCCAAAATCATTCCATCTATTATCTGCAGCGTACAAATTCCTCAACAGAACATAATTCCCATCATTCTGAGGCTCCAATTCGACTGCCTTCTTCAGAATTCTCTCAGCCCTTTCTATATCCTTGTATTGACCACATGCAGACAAGAACGAGCTTAGAATTATACCGTTTGGCTCAAAAGGCATGTTTGTAATCAAATCCTCTGCTTCGTCTAGGTTCCCTGCTCTGCCTAGTAGATCAACCATACAGCCATAGTGCTCAATTTTAGCATTCAGGCCAAATTCTCTCATCACGTGGAACCACTTTTTTCCTTCCTCCACTAACCCGCCATGGTTACAAGCTGAGAGAACCGCTAGCACTGTGATGTCATCTGGCTTTACTTCTTTCAGCATTGCCAAATATAGATCCAAAGCTGCACGTGCATTCCCATTCATAGCATACCCATGTATCATGGCGTTCCAAGAAGCTACTTCTTTCTCTGGCATCTCATCAAACATACTTTTCGCCTTCTCTATCTTCCCGCATTTCGAGTACATATCAAGAACTGCAGTACACACTTTCACCTTCTTATCGAGCTTTTTCCTCTGCACAAAATGGTGACACCATTCACCCAGACTGAGAGCACCTGTGTCAGAGATAGCAGGTAGAACACTCAAAATAGTCACATCATCCGGATCGAGCGAGGTGGTTGCCTGCATTTCCTGAAATAATCGTATAGCTGCGTGAGGTTGTTTATTCTGACAATAGCCTCCTATCATTGTGTTCCAAGAAACTAGGTTCCTTTCTGCCATAGCATCAAACAACTGCCTAGCGGATTCTATGTCTTTGTTGTTGCTGTAGCCATGAATCATAGTAGTCCAAGTGATGACAGTTTTATAAGTCATCTCATCAAACAATCTTCTAGCAGAAGTCATGTCACCAAATTTAACATAACCATCCATCATTGCGTTGTATATCACAACGTCCTTAACGTGAGGCATCTCGTCAAAGAGCTTACTCGCCAAATCCAGCTCTCCACACCTAACATACCCACAGATTAGAGCCGTCCAAGAAACCTCACTTCTTTGAGGCATTTCATCGAACACATTCCTCGCACATCCCATCTTCCCAAATTTAGCATACATATCAACAACTCCAGTCGAGACATACATATCTGCACAAAACCCAGATCTCCAAATCTGGCTATGCAACTGTAGACCTTGGTAAACACACAAACTCAAAGTACAGGACTTTGTCAAAGTCGTGAAAGTAAAATTGTCAGGAGCAAAACAAGTGTCCTCCTTTCTAAGATCTCTGTAAAGAGCAAATGAATCAGTATACTGACGAGTATCAAGATAGGCCTTGACCATGGAGTTACAGAGGAAACTGTCTTCTCTGTGAGGCCTTTGATCGAACAACTTACGGGCATAACCAATGCCAACAACCGACGAAGAACAGAACAAAAGCTTGGTGAAGATTTGAACGTTGGACTCTATGGCGTGGCGGAGCATGAACGCATAAATCTGAAGAAGAGAGAATCTGCCGAGTCGGTGACTTTTTTGGAGAAGATTGAAGCAGTTTCTCTCAGTCGGAAGCCATAGCTGTTGTGTTTCTCGCTCGTATACAATCATCGTCTACTGTATGAGCTCAATTACGCTTTCATCGACCTCGTGAGAGATGTAATTCAAAATTAGTTATTGCAAACTTTAGTGACGTTAATTAAATTATTTGTAACCATAATTGGGTGGGCCAATATATTTGACATATGGTTTGCTTCATTGTTGGGCTATAGGCCTCAAACTAAAATGTGATATTTGACACTTAAAAAAATAATATATATATATATATATATATATATAAATGATTAAGGGCCAGAAATAAAAACGACGACGTTCGGAAGGTTTACATAAACCCTAATCGTCTTCTTCTCGCAGCTGGCTACTTGTCTTTAGAACTCCTTTTTCGGGGGCTGAAAGCGAAACCTGTTATTGGAATCGCTCTCGCTAATTAGAATCACCTACAGGTTTGTGTAAATTCTCAATTTTCTTTTCTTCAATTCATTCTCGTAACCTATCTCGTTCGCTTGGTTTTCGTTATGGTTCTTCATCTTTTGTTGAAATCTAGGGCTTTTGTATGTTGAAATCTGTTGTTCTCCTGCTCACATCCTTGGACGAATTTTTCAGTAGTATAATGAAATATCTCTTCATAGAAACCATAAATTTTTATTCTAAAAGTGAAACTATATCATTTTGCTTCGTATGTCTTAGTAAAAGTATCTTCTTCTTTTTTGTTGTGTGTGTTTGTTGTAAACTTTGTGGTTTAAGTTTCAGTTTTACATGTCTTTTAACTTTGCGACAGTCTCTTGTAGGGGTTTCCAAGACGAGGCAAAATGAGATTGGTCAAGTGTTGGTTTTGCTCGTCCACAATATATCCTGGACATGGTATTCAGTTTGTCCGCAATGATGCCAAGGTAATTAGTTTGGCATCAATCTTTATATTACCCTGCTTCAATCTTTTGTATTTTTTAAAAAGTTTTGATATGCTTTTGTGGATTTAAACATTTTCAACTTTTGCTTTGGGGCAGAAATAAGTTGTCCTCATCATATTTTCGTAGTCCCTAGCTAATGAAATTGTATAGTTCTCTAGCTTAAATGACCAGTTTTGATGTCTGTTCTCTATTCTTACGATTTGCTTAGTGTTTCCAAGTAATCTTTGGATAGGAGTTTAGTATACAAGATCATATCATGTGATTGAGTTACAAGCTAGCTGTCTTCTCCTTTGCAGATTTTCCGGTTCTGTAGGTCGAAATGTCACAAGAACTTCAAGATGAAGAGAAACCCACGTAAAGTAAAATGGACTAAAGCATTCAGAGCTGCACATGGAAAGGACATGACTAAGGTAACATGTTTAAGTTTTTATGTTTCCTGGGGGTTATCTAGTTAATGCTCGCACCTCACCATTCTGCTTGTCTTTCTTTGTTTCCTTGACCCTAAAAGGATACAACATTTGAGTTTGAGAAGAAGAGAAACAGACCTGAGAGATATGACAGGAACTTAACAGAGAATACCCTCAAGGCTATTAAGAAGATAGATAAGATCAGAAGCGCTAGAGAGGCCAAACATATTGAAGACAGGTATATATTCCTTCTTCTTCTACACATACTTGAAAACACTGCTTGTATGAATTTGAAATTACACTCTGTTTCTGATTTTGTTTTTCTTTTTCTGTGTGGGACTTAGGTTGAAGCCAAACAAACAGAAGCAATTTGCTAAGGATAAATATGAGCTAGATCAGAATATTCATTTGGTCCTGGCTCCCGGAGCTTCAGAGAAGGTCAAAGTTGTTGTTCCCGGAGAGAAGTCTGTTCAAAACGAAGCCATGGAAGAGTGATTCTGTGGAGACGTTATGATCCATTTAAAAGCTACTCACTTACTCTGAAGCTGGTGTCATCTTAAAAAGCCTTACTTTAGTCTCTCTCTTACCATGAGTTTTGTTTATGTCTTCAAGAAAGAAAGTTTTGGTTTTTGTCCTGATAAAATTACTTTAAGTTGCTTTCTTTTGCAATGTATTATTATTACTTTCTGATAGAAAACAAACAGAGTCTAGAGTAATATTATGTTTTGTCTTCTTCGGTGTTGTTACGTTTCATATCACCTAAGCTAAACAACGGGACACTTAACATGCAAATACTTAGGAGACATCCAAAGAATCGATTATCTCAAAGTGCATCTGTAAATCAGGAAGTCTACCAGAAAAATATAATCTTTCATGGACCTGAAGTTTCCCACCGGAATTTTCAGTTTCAGCTTCGAGCAAACGAACTAACTCATCTTTTTCCTTGCAAATCCAGTCACGCTGCTTATCACACCACTGCCTAGGAGTTCCATGAATGACAATGCGCAGCGAGTCTGCTCCTCGTGAAAGACGTTGGGAGATTCTCTGCACGACATTGTGATCAGTAATGTAGGCACCGGAAGAGTTCAGTCCTACATCGATATAATGAACTTGAGAAATACTGTTGAGGAAGCTTTCTTTAGAGGCTGGAATGATCTGAATCTTTTCATGCTGGCTCATAGGTTCTTCTACTATTGCAGACGAAGTTTCGGCACAGTTTGTATCCAAGATACTGATCTCACTCATGAGCTGGTTTATCACAACTCCACCCTTGCTAAATCCAAGAACAAATGTTCTGGGACAGTGATGAACTGATGCAAACTGGTCTATCAAACACACTTCTTTGCCTTCCTTCCAAATGAGGTTCTTTGCCTGGTTTGATAAATCATATGGTCAATATATGAAGCTTAAGAGACAAATTGATAGCATGAACGAGAGAATACCTCTTGGAGGCAACTAGATAAGAGGGAGACAATTGATGAAGAAGCTGGGAAGCCAGTTGGGAGATAAGATTTTGGTGCTCCCCATTGATTCACTGATGGAACAAAGTCCTTGTAGATAGCAAATGGTTCATCAAAGACAGAAGCTTCAACAACCCAAGCATTGACAGAGTTGCCAAATTTAGAAACAATGATCTCAGCTACTTTCTGCAGATCATAGAGCCTCTCAATCACAGGATTCCCAGTGTCTTGAACTCTGTCCCCATGGAAGAATATTGCATTTGCAGAAGGCACCTGTTCATAATAAAAAAAAAATGAAACTTTACTAAATGAGCATGAAGCAACGATGTTGTTCTGAAAATTAGGAACAGGGTATAAAAAAAAGAGAGAAAGTGACACTCACAGCGAGAGTTCCGGAAGAAGAAGAAAGGCAAAGAGATGCAGCAACTCTGTAGTAGTTTCTGCTAGTACTAGCATCTAACGGAATCTTCAAAACGCCAGACCATCGTTCCATGTTCGAATAAGTTCTGAATTCGATTCCTAATTAAAGGTAACTGCGATAACACTCATTTGAGAATTTTGACGAACATATGGTGTGCGTTTCAGGTCACCCTCGAAGATTCTGTTCGTCAGGTCGATTGGAGCTTCTTTTGATTGAATATTATATGGCATGTGATGAGACAGTAGATGTGTTGAGCATGCGGATCGTGGAGGTTGAGCTGGAGCGTTATGGATTAAGCTAAGACTCAGGCTCAGGGTGTTGTATTGGAGTTGGACTATGGATAGGATTTGTCCAGGATTTTTTGTTTTTTTGGTGAAATAGAAATACCTTAAAAAATATCCTTTAATTTTTGTTTTTTTTTTGTAGTTTTGTCCAGGATTTTCTAAAAAGAAAAAAGAAATGTTATGCCAAAACAGTGATCATAAATTCATAATTATTATTAATTTTTGTAAGTTTTTTCATTTTTGAAGTTTATTTTGTAATTCATATTTCATATTGGTTTATTTCTCTTTATTATGAAAAGCTGAATAAGATTAAATAACATATCATAATGGTATATGTATGAGTAGCTGTGCATTAAGCTCAAAAGGATAGTTTTAAAAAGTAACATGTAATGTATTAGAGTCGGAGGGGTTTTGATTGTTGAACTAACACTTTGATACAAAACCTTAGATTGTTAAAGTAAATATATAAAAAGGAAAACATATATAGTTGAACAAACAGAAGCTCAAGCCAACCAATACAGATAAACCGTAAAACACACCTACCAGAAACCATATAAGCTATTGTACAAGAAAAGTCTTTGTAATCTTTGCCACTATATAAACTCAATCGCATATGTTTGAATATATCATCATCACCACAAAGGCAATACAAGTGAAACATATTAGAGGAGGCTTAACCAATAATTCCAGATTCATCAACACACCCAAAAATGGCACCATCATGCAAGCTCTTTCTCATTGCTTTCTTAGTGAGTCTCTCTTTCTCTAATATGATCAACACTTGCTCGGCCTCACGAAAACTTCTCCAGCAACAGCCTCTTCCTCAAATTCCAAATCTGCCTATCCCGACAATGGGACTACCTCCATTGCCATCAACATTACCTCAACCAACTCTTCCCACAATGCCCACTGCAACGTCTCCATTGCCATCAACATTGCCACAACCAACTCTTCCCACAATGCCCACTACAATGCCTCCATTTCCAATGCCATCAACTTTGCCACAAACAAACCTTCCCACAATTCCCACTACAATGCCTCCAATGCCATCAACTTTGCCACAACTAAACCTTCCCACAATTCCCACTGCAATGCCTCCGATGCCAACTTTGCCTTCGTTACCGACAGTACTTCCTTCTCTTCCGACGAATCTCCCATCCATTCCATTCTTCTCTCCTCCCCCTTCCACAACTACACCGAGTCCTTGAATGATCATTTCATATGATTGATGTATCTTCTATTATGTTATTTGTTGTAAGGAGTTGTTTCATTATATTCTGGTGTGCTTTGGTTTGATTAGTTACGCATTCCGCCGTTTGATGCTTTGTACTTTTTAGTTTACTTTTGATTATCAAATATGTTGTATTTTGTAATGTTTTGTGTGATAGCCTATAAAATATTCTTCTAAAATAAAGGAGACAAAAACGTGTTCTGGGTTCTATGATGCTACTTTGTGACATCATCTATACTATTAATTGGGAAGGACAACTTGAAGCCAAACACCCCCAATTTTTAAAATAAAATTCATGAAACTTAAACATGTTGCCAAACAAAATTAATGACAGCAAAATCTTTAAAAAAATAAAAAATAATAAAAAACAGAAACAACCTATATTTATGGAAATCATATTAATTTTGTTGCCAAAAAAGTGGACAATTAAATTCGAAAATTTATATATGTAACATATTTAATTTTTTGAGATATTTTTAAGCAATAATTTAATATTTAATAAAATCTAATTTATTGTATTTTATTTATTTGGTTTAATGATTTTATTCAAGTGGTTTATGTTACATTTATTTTGTATATCTCTTATGATATGATAATAAATTTATTTTTCTTTACAAAATCATCATATATTTTAAACACAAAAACAAATATGTTATTTATTGTACAATAGCATAAAATAAGGAGAGAAATATTCAACAGAATTGATAATAT